AAGGATCCGGGCTATATCGCGATATCCGAATAATTAATAAAAAAAAAGGAAGGTAAATAAACAAGAATGAATCTGAAAATTAAATTGGAATTAAAAAATTAATGTTGAAGAAGATGAGATGCCCTCTCACGGCGTCTTCTTTCTCCTTCTATTCCCTAAACCTTGTTTGGATAAGGTTTTCATTTCTTATTTTTCTCCAACCTCCCCCAAATCCTTCTCACTTTCAAATTATGTTTTATCTGTTTCTCCTTTGACCAAGTATCTTACTGATTTAGGCCTTCTTGTGGGCCGTACTCTCCCTATGTCGGGCTCCCAATATGGATTGGGCCTCTGGTTGAGTTTTGGAGTGTACAGTTCTAAAGTTAAGTTTTTCAATATTTTAATTCACTTCCTAATGTTTCTCATATTGGTTACACCTCTTAAAATCTCAAGTTAAGGTTCTAGCTTTTCAAGTTCCAATCAAAGCATATAGATCCCTATAGGAACAAGGCTATCTACCTCTTTTAACCTCGAAAGGGACACTAATCATTTACGAGTGAGGATAACTCCAACGAAAAAAGACGATTCAAGAAAGAACTGATACTTTGACTTTAATAATACTTATTTTTAAGGTTGTATGTGTTTGTTAGTAATTTAGATTTACTATGGTATTTTAACTGAGAACTGGTTTAAGTGGTTAGGTGAAAATGGTCTTATGCATTTTTGCCTTTTTTTTTTTTACTTATATGGTCAGTAACTAATTAATTTACACCATAATATTCTTTTATTACATGTAGTTGGTTTACATGGAATATATTATGACTTTACTGATGATGTTTCATTATTTACATTTGTGTTTGTTTGGGGGTTTGAATTTTGAGTTGGAATTTGAATAGTAAAAATTTTGAATTTTAATAGTTGTATGACGTGATATAAATAGGTGTTGATTTGATGTTTTAAATATAAAATTGATTTTTAGTATAATATAAAAAATAAAAAATAGGTGTTTAATTTGATATTTTTTGGGGGGGAATGGAATGAGCAGTGGATTTAAAATCCAATCCACCAAACAAACGCACATTAAAGAAGATTGGTAATAATCATATAACATATCTTCTTTTTGTGGAATTTACTAAAAAGATCCTTTCGTTGTCATCCGCATGTTTTAAATTTTTTTTTGGAATAGAAGATGTCTGTCTTCCTATTTTACTTAGGGTGCGTTTGGCAATTAGCAGATAATTTTTAGCTATTAGTTTATTCAATTAGCTGGTAGCGGTTAGTTGATTCAATTAACTGGTTTGACTAGCTGATTCAATTAGCTATTTGTATTAAAGTGTTTGGTAAAAAAATTGTCTGACATTAGCTGTTTATATATAAAAATTTTCAAAATATTTAATTTTGTTCATTTTGATTTGAAATTTATGAGAATTTGTTATTAATTATTGAAGATTATAAAAATATTATAAAATATTTATTTTTATTTTTATTATTTAGATTTGAAAAAATTATTTTTACTAAAAAATAATAATTTTTTATTGAAATTATGTAAAATATAAAATAATAAATCTTTTGTATATATATTTTTATTACGTTAAATTATTGTTTTAATATATATAAATAAATTAATAACCTTTATTTTTTTTATTTGATTTAGTTTTAAAAATTTATATATTTTACAAATAAAATCATTTATGTGTAATAATTAATAATAGTAATTATTTTAAATTTACAAAAATAAAAATATAATTTAATATTAAATATATTAAAAATAATTAATAAATACAGCTATAAAAATATATTTATATGTATAAAAAAAATAATTAAGTTTTAAGGGTAAATAAGAAATAATCAAAATTAAAATGAAAAATTCTTTCAAAAATTTTAAAAATTCTTTTCAGAAATTAGCTTTTTAATCCAAAAAATTCTTTCAAAAAGCTAATGTACCAAACACCTATATTAGTTTTTTGACTGGTCAAACAACTAAAAGTTATTAATAAACTAAAAGCTCTGTTTCCCAAACACCCTCTTAAGCTAAAATTATTTTATGAAAATGGACGTCTATGGTTTAGGCTTAGTTTTCTTTACTTTCAGTCTCACTTCCAGCTACTAGCATTCCTGGTCTCTCCAAGTACTGTAAGTGACCTAAAATTTGCATCACGTTTTAAGTTAAAAGTTGAGGTTGTTTTACTTTGATTTTGTTGCAATCGAACTTGTTTACTTGTTTTACATGTGTATGTATATATTTTATACGAAATTATTTTTATTGTACACACCGGCGCGGCATCGCGCGCGCCGGGTTCGGGTTCTAGTAGTAATATATATACCAAAAACAATACAATATTTTTTACCAAAAAAATAAGAAAAGAAAAATAAATGAGAAAAAATGTATATAAATTTAAAAAATAACAAAGAAGCAGTATATTATAGTTCAATAAATTTCTATTATATGGGTTCAAACTTCAAACTAATATATATTTTTAATGATAATTTTTTTTTTAAACACTTATAATTTATAAGAAAATCAAATTTAAAGACAACTACAAAATATTTAAAAAAAAAAAAAAAGAAATAGCCTATTTTAACTATTCTTAATTATATATATTTTTTGTTATTAATATTGAATTTGAAAACTACAATTATAAGTTTTTAAATAGATTTGTAAATTTATACTGACCTATTTAGCCAAAATACGGTCAATTTCCACTTTTAATTTAAACTCCCAATAATACAACTAATATCTAAAATGAATGAATTAGGGTTATTCTCTTCAAACAAAAGGCTTTGTATTAGACTACATGACATAGATGCCCAAAGATCGGAATTTGTAATTTTGCATATTCCAATCGGGCCTGGAGAGTTCGAGTGAAAATATACATCAAAAAATTGCAAGGGTTGGTAAAATAATTAGAAAATTGAAGCCCAACCGACAGACTATGTTACAACACATGAGGACTTGATGGAATACCTAGGGTGAGTGCCGTGGTGGTGACAATTACGTTGGAGCTTGCAACGCCTCAATCGAACAACTAACAAAAAAATTGTGCAGGAGTATGCTAAAATAGAAGGTTTAATATATAATTTACATAAAATTTAGAATTGCGCAAGCATTAGTGGACGACCACTTATATATATAATAGGAAGCTCACATGTCTTTCACATACATAGGACCATTAGGCTAAGTGTTTCTCATTGGGAGATTACTTATAAAAAACTCATCCCACGTCGAAAAATCATTCCACTTTCCCCTTCCCCACTCCTATAAATAGGTCTCTTAAAATGTTTTATAAGACACACCAAACAAAATTATATTTTAATAAATATTTGATCATTTATGATCATTTTCTTTTTATAAAAAGTTGTGTTTAATAGCAAAAATTATGAAATGCAAATTCATTTAGTTTCAAATTTCAGGTTTGAGTATAAAGTCTTGAGTTTGTGGCAGAAGGTGGAAGAGCTCTAAAAAATGTCGACCAATGTAGTGTCTTCCTAGAGGATGGTTCGATACTAGAAGAGTGTCGGGTCGTGCTTATGTTAGTACTTACTTAAGTTTACTTCTCTTTCGATTATCCTTTTTTCTTTTCTTTTTTTTCGCTTTATTCGTTCCGTTTAATTATTTCGTTCCTTTTTCTTTTTTTTTTTTCGCTTTATTCGTTCCGTTTAGTTATTTCGTTCCTTTTTCTTTTCTTTTTTTTCGCTTTATTCGTTCCGTTTAGTTATTTCGTTCCTTTTTCTTACATAATTAGTTTCGTTTAGTAGTTTATTCTTTTTTGTTGCTTTATTAGTTAATTTCGCTTAATAATTTATTTCCTATCTTGGGTAATTGATCAATGTGGTCATGACACTACACCCTCGTTCCCTTAGGTGTATTTGGTACAGAGAAATGAGACCAGAGAAATAAAAATGGTATCATTTCTCTTGTTTGTAAATGGTATCATTTCTCTTGTTTGTTTGAGTTTGAAAAATGAAACTTGAGAAATAAATCATTTCCATTTATATGCAGATAAATGGAGAAAAATAATGGTATAGTATATGTTTTTTAAAATTTTTAAAATTTTTTTTGTACTATTTAATTTTTATAATTTTTTAAAAAAAATTATATTATTTCAATTTTACAAAAAAACAAATTTAATTTATTTTTAAACTATATAATTTTTACGATATTTTAAGAAATTGTACTAAAATATAATATTAAAAAATATCCTATATAATTTATAATTTTTTAAAAAAAATTATCAAAAATATTTTTTATGAATTCTTATTCGTTAAAACTCTCTTTTTTATCTGATTAATCATTTATTCTTGTTTGATCATTCGTATATCTGCATTTCTCTCCAATTTCATTCTCTACGTAGTAGTTAATACACTTTTCTTTGGTCAACATGATACCTTTGCTATTTGAAAGGTCTTATTTACTTTTTTTGTATGTTGATCATTCAATATTAATTATTAAATAAAAATATAGTATAAAAAAATAACAAAAATACTCTATTAATGTCTTATAATACTATTCTAATGAAATTATGCAAAAAATTATACAATTATGTACAAATGAGAGCCTTAGAGCCAAACGAAAAGAATACTTCTTTAAAAGTTTATAGCAGGGTGTGTTCTTTTGGAATGATTTCTCCATAGATTTACTATTTACCAAAAATATATTTTCCTTCAAACATCAAATCAAACACTTATTTTTTATTTTTATATTATATTAAAAATCCATATTATATTCAAAATATCACAACATTTATTTATGTTACATTATACAATTATTCCAATTCGAAATTTTTACTATTACAATTTCAAATCCAAAATCCAACTTCAAACAAACACATTTTTTACCATTTCGGTTCCACATTGTCTAAGATAAGTTAAAAAAACTCAAATCTTCACTTTTTTCGTTCTTTTTTGCTAATTGAATATCTAACTTTTTTTCTAAAAACATCTCATCCAACCACTATTTTTTCACCAATATATATATATATATATAAACACTACCACAACCGCAAAAAAAAATAACAATTGCAAAAGGAACACACCTCATTCTCAAAGATTAACGATGAATGTAGTAATATCTGAACATTTCATATGAATATGACGAAATCCACACAGAAATAATACATACAAACAAAATGTGTATTTCACTCCCAAACCCAACCATATCCATACACACATATATATATATATATATATGTATGTACTTATCAGCACACATTAGCACCAATAAAATAAAAAGTAAAAAATAAAAAGTAAAAAATAAAAAATAAAAAAAAAATTATAATAAACCCAATGTCTCCATGATTTTCAAGAATCCACAGTAACATTCTTTTGCTCCTTAGAGAGAGAGAGAGAGAGAGAGCAACATATAATATAGATAGATAGAGGATATATAGGAATCTAAAATCAAGCCCACAGCCCATGCATCACTATTCATATTTTTCCAACAAGATGTCTAATTTCCAATAGAAAGGAATGAAAGCGATTGATTGATGCATATAATAATTATAGATGCCCATGCAAAAATATGTGCATGCTCCGCAAAAACTCGCAGAAACAACCATCGCAGGCAGCTCTTACTTACTGATGCTAGCTATAGCTAGCTCTCTGGAGCAGGGACAGCCGACCTTAGGAGAGGCTGGAGAGCCTTCACCACAATGCTCATATTGGGACGGAACTCAGCTTCGTACTGCACACACAGTGCAGCAACAGCAGCAAGCTGGATGAACAAATTATACCGATGTTAAAACTCTTGTTTCCTCCATAAATTCTACATCCAAAACAGGTACTGTTTAATATAAAACCTCACAGCCATAACGGCGTGGACCATGAGTAGAAAATCATGTATGACAGTTTTATTTTATTTTAACAAAGATGGAACCAACAATTTCATCTCATAACTTTCAGAATATTACATAGATGTGTGTGAATGTATGTGTGTATAAGAATTTATATGAAACGACATAATTTAATTTTTCCCACGAAATAACAATTTAAAATTTTCTCCTGTTATACCATGTAAAAACCAAAATTAAAGTCCGAACCATTTTGAAACCAAAGAGGCATCATGCGTAGAAAGGAGGAAGAGAGAGAGAGAGAGAGAGAACCTTGGCAACCCCTTTTGGAGGGTACTCTCCCTTAAGTTTGGGATCAACACATTGTTTGACTTTGTCCTCACTTAATCTTGGAGTGGCCTAAAAGTAGAAAATAAATATTAAGTAAAAGCAAAGAGACTATATGACTATCAAATACTCTCTATGCTGGCTTTTTTTTTTTTTTGGATTGTTATAAAATAACACTCTTATTTTCTTTTTTAATAGAAAATTTTATCATTTTTTGTATGTTTTTTATTATAAATTGCAAACTATAACAATTATTATTCATTTTTATTAAAATACGTGCCCAAATATTTGAGCATATTTCAATGACGAAGAAAGTAATAAATATAAGAAGCCTAAAGTCAAATATAGTAACCAAGGTGAAAGACTATCAAATACTCTCTATGTTGGCTTTCTTTTTTGGATTGTTATAAAATAACATTCTTATTTTCCTTTTTAATAGAAAATTTTATCATTTTTTGTACGTTTTTTACTATAAAATGCAAAATATAATAATTATTATTCACTTTTATTAAAATACGTACCCAAATATTTGAGCATATTTCAATGACAATGAAGTAATAAATATAAGAAGCCTAAAGTCAAATATAGTAACCAAGGTGAAAGACTATCAAATACTCTCTATGCTAGCTTTCTTTTTTGGATTGTTATAAAATAACATTCTTATTTTCTTTTTTAATAGAAATTAGAAAATTTTATCATTTTTTTTTTGTATGTTTTTTACTATAAAATGCAAAATATAACAATTATAATTCACTTTTCGTAAAATATGTGCCCAAATATTTGAGCAATTTCAATAACGACGGAAGTAATAAATATAAGAAGCCTAAAGTCAAATATAGTAACCAAGGTGAAAGACTCACCCAAGTTACAAGACTCTGTTGTCCACGCGGCATGGTATGATCAACAGGTTTCCTTCCTGTTAAAAGCTCAAGCAGAACAACCCCAAAACTGTAGACATCACTCTTCTGCGTCAATTGTCCTGTCATTGCGTATCTGCAGAATATCCACAAACAATATTCCGTAAGGCAATGATGCGAAATGATATATATTGAATGTGCATCAAGTATGAGGACACTATTGTTTGTGTAACATCATTTTTCTAGAAAAGAACTGAGAAGGATATAGGTACCATTTCCAATTATATATGTATGCAAATAAAATCATGTACTCAAATAAGTCGTACAAGCAAGACCCGTAGAAATTAGCTTAATTGGAAGGGGCTTTAATTATTCAAACAAAAAGTGTTACAGAAACTCATATGTATGCAATAAACCAAAGTGTATGAACCTTTGCCAATTTAAATAATATATGCACTTCAAAACTAACATAAAATCATGTAACCACATAAACCATACAAAACAAGCCAGTCAAAGGCTAGCTAGAATGGAGGGCGGCCTAATTACTTAAAGAAAGGGCCTCAAATTCAAACTCTTACTAATGCAAAAACCTTCCTTGTGAGGAATTCTAACTAAGTCGCATCTAGCAGTGTCTCAACCCAGTTAAACTACCTAATAGTACCAAGAAATATCTACAAGAAACTCGTATATCACCCTTTGTTCCAACTCGATCACTTCCCTTTATGGGGCATTTACTTCTAATACGAATGACCTTTTCAAGAAACAAGATCAGTAACCCAGACTCACTGATATTGGGTCACTTGTGAAAACAAAAAAAACACCTAATCTGGGTATGGGATCACCAGCGACTCTGCTGCCTAGCCCCTCTATTACAGTGTATATATATATATGTAATATATAAATACACATAAATGTATGTATATATGTATGTCTGTGTAAGTATATACATATATTTATATATCACATACACATACATATAGTGTATGTATATCACTTTGTGTGAGGGGGCGGGGAATAGGGGGACCGGTGATCCCATCCCCCTAATCTGGGACAAAATCTAGGAATGGGCTTGGATTTTCTCCACGCAATTAATCAAAATAGAATTAAATAAGAAGTTTGAAGACCTGATATGCAATGCTAAGAGTAACTAATGAGGGCCATAAGGAATCATTTAGCTAAGAGCAAACAAGCAAAAGCTCTAATGATTATCAAACAATGACTAGTTTTGAGTGTCTAGTGAGATTATTTATGTGCAAGCACATCTTCTGCGTGGGTTTGGATGGAAAGCAGAATCTTAGGAAGTAAGATAAGGAACATTACTCTGGTGCATGATAACCAAATGTACCCAGAACTCTAGTAGAATGAAGCCGAGCAGCCATGTCAGGAGCTTGATTTGAAAGGTTAAAATCTGCAATCTTGGCTTTGTAGTCTTCAAAGAGAAGTACATTACTGGATCTGATATCTCTATGTATTATCGATGGCCGAACCTTCTCGTGCAAATATTCCAGGCCTCTTGCAGCATCAACCGCAATTCTAACTCTTTGCAGCCAGTCAAGAACTGGACCAGGTTGTGCCCCTTGCACTCCTTTCCTTCCTGTGGTGAAGATAATTTTTAGTTCATATGTAGGTCAAAAGTCTTAATAGGAGCACAAGTGATTCAGCATACCATGTAAAATATCATGCAGTGAACCCATGGTTGCAAATTCATAGGCTAAGACACGGAGGTTGCCATCTACACAGTAACCAAGCAATTCAACAAGGTTTTCTTGCTTCAACCGAGACACCATAGAAACCTGCACATAATCGGAAACACTTTTTAAAAGGTTGATATAATTTATCCATAAGCAGAGAAAGATAAGATCAGCCTTTAAAAGCTTGTTCACATACCTGAGTCAAAAACTCAACATTTGAATCAGGCTCAGATGACACATCGAGCTTCTTGAGGGCAACCTCCTTCCCGCTATCCAGTTGTGCAAAATATACTCTTCCATAAGATCCTTCACCAATTAAAGCTTTTGATCCGAAATTGTCAGTTTTCTCTTTCAGTTCCTCGATCGATAGAGAAGGTACCTCAATAGGTGGCACAGATTTCTGCACTTCAGGCTTCACTGGAGCCGATGCCTTAGCGGCTCTCTGATGTCCTGGCTCCCGTGCACAGATGAAAGGCAATGATTATCAGAATGGAAGCATAAAGCCTTATTGAAGCTAATCCCATCAAACAAAGTTTCATCAAGGTCTAGACTTGCAGAAACAGAAAGTAAATGCACAGGTATTGGGGAATCAATGTTTTAAACCCAAAAGGTACCATGAAAATACCTCAACCTGGAACATAAAGTAAGAGAATAGAAGAAGAAACTTTTTCAGTCAGAAAGTTGATTGCGCCCATATTGAAAAGTTCAAAGACATAGTATCTGACAGGAACTTATCACACAACATACAGGAAACTTTAAAAGTGAGGGATGGCAGCTTTATGTAACAAAAGAAAGCTGAAGTAATGTCAATAGAAACTGCCAAACGTTTTATTTGATCATAGAAATTTGAGCACGGATTAAAAATAATAAGATATTCTATAACACCACGCAAGTAATTTTCACACTAAGCATCCTTGATAGCCACATATCAAGAGATTTTATTAAAAAAAAAGTGTGTTTAACTACCATGATTTAGTAAATATACTACTTTATCTTCAAGAATGATAGTATATTATGATGCTGCATTTTCAGAAGACAAGTAATTCTAAATAAAAGGTATAAAAATATAGGTTTATGCAAAAACAAAGGATAACTAAGTAACTAACACTAACACATCTTCTACACAATATGGTAATGTAATTTCAGTCTTCAATCCTCATCAAATAAGATACTAATGTTCCTGAACATCTCATTTACAGAAAATATTGGCTTTGTTTACTTGGAATTTTGTTTCAAATTCTTTACTATGCGACTCTCCCAGTTACTTATAAAGACTGACTATTTTTCTTTCACAAAACATCACATGCAAACCACTATTCAAACCAAAACTCAAAACCAAAATATAAAACCAATCACCAAGTAAACAAACCCATTCACTTACAGTAATGGTTTCATATAAGAATTAAGATTGCCCAAAAATAATTTTACAAATAAAATCTGTGCAGCTGGTTACTTTGAGATACAGGTTATCACTCCATTTCATTCACATATATGATCACATGTCAGATCTTAAAACAAACAAGTAAATAAAAATATGAATTCGTGTCTTCACTTGAGCAGCTCTGATCTTCTCCATTTTTAATGCATATATTTATCTTGTGTTACTATGTCAAGAATGACAATAGTTGTTATGGCATGAACCAGTGCCACGGCCAAGTCCAGAATGTGCAGAATTAGGGTCATTGAACCATTGGTATTTTTAAACGGTCACTTTTATATTGTTTATTAGGAGAGATTATAAATAAAAAAGTATAAATATATATATATATTTAGTCTATCCAAAACAATCATTCTCCATCACAACAAAATAATCAACCATGCTCTTCAAATGACATAACATTTTTCCTTCTTTTTTGCCTTATTATCAACTCTCTTCTCATTCAAGTTTTCTTCTCATTGTTGGGCTTCTTATACTTTCCTTAATCCATTTTGAGTGTGTTTGTTTAGCTAACTTTATTTAATTTCTACTGTTCTAATTTTTTCTCCCAAAACATCAAATCAAATCTCTATTTTTTTTTTCACTAAAAATCAATTTTACATTCAAAATATCACATTAATTCCTATTTATAATATTTTTATTATTAAATATTAAGATCTATGTTATAGAATATAATAAATTTATTTATTATGTTATTAAGTTTGCGTTTACTTGTACTTTCATTTCCAATTTCACTATTCAATTACAGTACATTTTGCATTTTCCCTCTCAAAAACAACACCCCTAGCACCTGCTCTCCATTCAAAACACCCATTTTCACCTCAAAAATCTCAAAAAACCTAAAACAATCCAAAATACCAAAACACAAGTAAACACACAGTGTACTTCATTTTTCTATTTTAATTTATTTTATATAAATTGTGTGCCATGCGCCAGTGAGCCACGGTTCAGTAAGGTTCTTTCTCTTTTGGGCAAGACTGTAACATGGATTGTGCTCACTATTAAGGACAGCAGGAATAACATTATTTGGCATCAACAGCAAATAGCAGGAAAAGTATTTTGATTTCAAAAATAGTCAAAAGATCGAATCCAAAGAACTGACCATCAGCATAATTCCCAGTGCTTTTGCGGCGCTCATGTTCATCGAATGAGGAGGACTCCTCTATGTTACAAGTGAAACACAACCACCTACGCATCCTTGATCTCCTTCTGAAATAGAGATCGTCCTCGACACTCTTGTTCTCTAAACGTACAAAGGAAGCAGGAGCAGATTCCTGACCCTGATAATGTCAATACAATGAGAAGATACCATTACAAGATGAATATGGAAACACCCTGTACATTTGATGATCATGAAATTAGGGAAAACTACAAAAGGGCCCAATCTATGTCAACTCCAAATCAATATACATTCAAGCCTATAGAGATTTCCCTCTATTCTTGTGTCCTGTTCTCGAAACATAATAGGAACATATGCAATCACAATGCAAGGAAATATATCAAATCAATACATCGACAAACAGCAGTTCTTGATCTTATGAATAATGCAGTGGCAATTTAAGATCATCACAGAAGAATCAATTTAAGATCATCACAGAAGAACATACACACACAAACAATACTTTTTTATTCAATTGCAGGCTTAAATGAAACCACGTACTTCCTTTGGAATGAAGAATCCCTATATTCTTAAATTTCAATTAACCAATAAAATTAAAATTCCTTGATTCTTACAAGCAAAACAACAAGAGGATCACAAAAAATTTCCAAACCAAAAACAAAAACCAATTTTAAGATCAAATCCCTAAACCAATTAATTAGCCTGCCTCACCGCTATACCGCGCCGACGGAGAAAACTGTCATCCTTGGCCATTCCAACAAAATTATTGCACGCAGAACACAAACCAGGCGGAGAAAAGAGAAATCCAAGGAAAACAACAAGAATTCCAAATAATCACAAAAACGAGTGAACAAATTATAAAACATAAAAAGCAGGCACAAAACAAAAAATAAACAGCGAAATTCAAGGGGTCCCTTGTTTATTTGTTTACTACTTTACCTTTTTTCCAGAGTGCCTTGCCCGCCTTTAATTCTCTGCTTCTGCGCGACTCTTTCTACGCCAGCCTTTTCCACCCTTTTTTTAGTCTTCCTCTGCACAAATGAAAAATACCCAAATTCTTGCAAAATAGAGACCATTGGCATACAGAAATCTTAAAATAACAAAAAAGGGGATCCGCAGGGGTGACGACAGGTGCGCAGACAACCAGGCAAATCAAAGAAACCACTGAAAGAGAGAGAGAGAGAGAGAGAGAGAGAGAGAACCTGAAGGAGAAGCGGAGTGGATTGGAAACGGGTCACTCAGGTTTACGTTTTTTTATTTAAATAATAATATTATTATTATTATTAGAGAGAAAGGATGATCCATTTTAATTTATTAATTATTTACAATAGTTTCTTTTAGGTATGTTTCTTTTATTCGAAATTTCAAATTTTATTATTTGGACTTTGTATTTTTTAAAAAAAATATTTTTTTTTCACAAAATATTTTATTATATATTATTTTAATATCAAATTTAAAATAATTTTTTTCTAAACCCATCTAAAAAAACATAAGTTTTTTATTTGAAAATTTTTAATTTAAATTTTATATTAAAAAAATATTTGATAATATAATTAATAAGAGGAATTTTTTTTTTTTCAAGTAATAAAATTTAAGAGTTTTACAATAAAGAAACACATCATTTTTTTTCTTTTACAAGTATAATTTTATTTTTTCAGTAAAATTATATTTTAATTTTTTATATATTTTCTCCGTCTCATTATATTACGCTATTTTCTTTTGATTACGGCTATTAAGAAAATGGGTATTATAAAATTACTTGTGTTTAATTTAATTGATTTAATAGTTGTAATAAATTGAAATATATGTATTTATTTAATATTTTATGAATAAAATAGATATTAAATAATTTTGACATAAATAAATTTTGTATTTGTACAAATAATTTATGTAATTATTTATAATAATAATATTTTAAAATAAATAAATAAATTATTTATAGTTACTAAACCATAAATCAAAAACATTTGTTTGGTTGAAATTTTTTTTAAAAAAAATTATTATTCACCAAAATGTTATATAATAATTATATAATATAATATTATTAAGTATATATATCAAATATTATAAGGCAATGTGTGTATATATATATAATATAATAATATATGCAAATGTTGTAAAGCAAAGGTGAGGAAATTAAATGCGAAATTGTGTATTCATTTTATAACAAAGGACATACATATATATAGGCGGTGAAGTACATGATCATAAAACATCCACATCTCGTCGACGTGGTGGTTGTGTGGTGTGTAACACTCCCCCTTGGATGTTTTATACCAAGAATGTGCCTCGTTAAAACCTTACTATGAAAAAACCCTGTGGGAAAAAATCATAGTGAAGGAAAAATAGTACATCATTCTTGTATTAATGCGCTCTCCCTGTTCTGGAATTTATTTGATGTCTTTCATCCGACGCATTCCAATTTCTTGCACCAGTTTGTTGAATACTGCAGTCGGTAGCGCTTTCGTAAATAAATCTGCAAAATTTTCAGACGATTTAATTTGTTGCACATCAATTTCACCACTTTTCTGAAGGTCGTGAGTGAAAAAGAACTTCGGAGATATGTGCTTTGTCCGATCGCCTTTAATATATCCTCCCTTTAATTGAGCTATACAAGCTGCATTATCTTCAAACAATATTGTATGAGGTAATTTATCATCAGTAATCAAGCCACAATTTTTCTGAATATGGTGAGTCATGGACCTCAACCAAACGCATTCACGACTGGCTTCGTGAATTGCTAAAACCTCAGCATGGTTTGAAGAAGTAGCTGTTATTGTCTGTTTAGCAGATCTCCAAGAGATTGCGGTTCCACCATATGTAAATAAATAGCCAGTTTGAGATTTTGCTTTGTGTGGATCAGACAAATAACCAGCATCAGCATAACCAGTTAATTCATTTCGAGATTCACTCGAATAAAATAATCCGAGGTCATGAGTCCCCTGAAGATAACGGAAAATGTGTTTGATACCATTCAAATGGCGCTTTGTGGGGGATGCGCTGAACCTGGCCAGTAAATTTACTGGAAAAGATATATCTAGCCTGGTATAATTTGCGAGGTACATTAATGCGCCAATAGCGCTGAGATATGGTACCTCGGGGCCAAGTATTTCTTCATTTTCTTCTCTTGGCCTAAATGGATCTTTACTGGGATCAAGTGATCTGACCACCATTGGTGTACTAAGAGAGTGAGATTTATCCATGTAAAATTGTTTTAATACCTTTTGGGTATATGTGGATTGATGGATAAATATCCCATTATTAACATGGTCCACTTGTAATCCCAGACAATATTTTGTCTTTCCAAAATCTTTGATCTCAAATTCTTTCTTTAGATATTCAACTGCAATTTGGATCTCTTCAGGAGTTCCAATTAAATTGAGATCATCAACATATATAGCAATAATGACAAACTTTGATCCATTTTTCTTTATAAAGACGCATGGGCATATTGGATCATTAGTATAACCTTCTTTTATTAAACATTCGCTCAGACGGTTATACCACATTCGCCCTGATTGTTTAAGTCCATACAATGACTTTTTCAATTTGATGGAATATGATTCTCTTGGGTTTAATTTGTATGCTTCAGGCATATTGAATCCCTCAGGAACTTTCATATAAATATCAGTATCCAATGAGCCATAAAGATATGCAGTAACTACGTCCAAAAGGTGCATATCGAGCTTTTCTCGCACTGCTAGGCTCACAAGGTATCTAAATGTTATTCCATCAACAACTGGAGAGTACATTTCATCAAAATCTACTCCAGGCCTTTTTGAGAATCCCTGAGCTACAAGACGGGCTTTATATCTCACAATTTCATTATGCTCATTTCTTTTTCGTACAAACACCCATTTGTATCCAACTGGTTTTATATCATCTGGTGTTTGAACAATTGGTCCGAAGACCTCTCTTTTGTTTAATGAATCAAGCTCTGATTGAATCGCATGTTCCCATTTTGGCCAGTCATTTCTTTACCGACATTCATGAACCGATTTTGGCTCTGGATTCTCATGTTCTTCCATTATATCAAGTGCTAAACTGTATGCGAAGGCATTATCAATAACTGCCTCTTTACGGTTCCAACATCTTCTTGAAGTAACATAGTTAATTGAATTTTCAATAATCTCATCATGTTCTTCAAGATCGTGCTCTTCTTGAGCAATTATTTCATGATTGACTTCCTCGTTAGATTGAGGTTTATCAATGTCATTCCTAATATTTTCATGATTATCATCATTAATTCCTCTTTTCTTTCGAGGATGTTTGTCTTTGGAACCGAGTGGTCTATCACGCTTTAAGCGTGTCGCTGATTCATTAGCACTTGCAATTTGTCCATCAGGGACAATTAATTTAGCCGGAGCATTAGCAGCTTGGATATATGATCGAGTGACTTTGCTCGAGTCATTGAATGCATCCGGTAACTGATTTGCAATATTTTGCAAATGTATAATGCGTTGAACTTCTAGTTCACACTGCTTTGTACGAGGATCACAAAAATTCAATGGGATTTTCCAATTAATATCCCTTTTCGGTTCGTTTTTGTCTCCCCCTAATGTAGGAAAATATGATTCGTCAAAATGACAATCTGCAAATCTTGCAGTGAATAAATCGCCCATCATAGGTTCAAGATATTTTATAATTGACGGCGATTCATATCCGACATAAATGCCCAATCTACGTTGAGGACCCATTTTTGTACGTTTGGGGGGTGGAATAGGAACATAAACAGCACACCCAAAAATACGTAGATGAGATATATTTGGTTCGTGACCAAATACTAACTGCATTGGGGAATAGCTATGATAGCTTGTCGGCCTCATTCTTATAAGTGTTCCTGCGTGTAAGATTGCATGCCCCCAAGCTGAAACGGGCAACATAGACCTCATCAGTAATGGTCTAGAAATCAATTGCAATCTTTTAATAAGTGATTCTGCCAAGCCATTTTGTGTATGAACATGAGCAACTAGGTGCTCTACATTAATTCCAATCGACATGCAATAATCATCAAATGCGTTCGATGTATATTCACCAGCATTATCTAGACGTATAGTCTTAATTGGATTATCGGGGAATTGTGCCCGTAATTTAATAATTTGGGCAAGCAATCTCGCGAATGCCATATTGCGAGTAGATAATAAACAGACATGTGACCATCTGGTAGATGCATCAATAAGCACCATAAAATATTTAAATGGCCCACATGGTGGGTCTATTGGTCCACATATATCCCCGTGTATTCTTTCCAAAAATGTAGGTGATTCAATACCTACTTTAGCTGGCGATGGTCTGGTTATCAATTTTCCCTGAGTGCAGGCAACACATGTTAACTCATTTGAGTTTAACACTTTTTGATCTTTTAATGAATGGCCATGCGAATTCTCAATTATTCGCCTAATCATTATACTTCCAGGATGCCCAAGGCGATCATGCCATATTTGAAAATCAATAGTCCTTTGATCTACCGTGAGGTGTGTTTCAACAACACCTAATCTGGCATAATATAAGCCAGTAGAGAGTGAGGGTAATCTCTCAATGATGCATTTCCTTTTATCAATGATATTGGTGATCAATAAAAATTCACCATCGGTATCACTCATAGTTTCAATATGATAACCATTTTTCCGAATGTCATGAAAGCTCAGTAAATTTCTTCGAGCTTTAGTGGCCAACAGTGCATACTATATCACAATTTTCGTCCCCGCAAAGAGAAATATAATGGCTTCTCCAGAGCCTTCAATTAATTTTGCACTGCCACTTATTGTATTGGCATTCATTCTTTCCCTTTTCAAATGGGAGAAATATTTTTCGTGTTTCAATATGGTATGTGTCGTTGCACTGTCAATGAAACACATATTTTCATTTTGATTGACATCCATTTAACCTTCAAATATAAGTAAACACAGTATTAATAAAGGCAGATATAAGTATTACAAAATACATTACAAAAAGGTAATATGCGATAATTTAAATATTACAAAACATAATGTAAAATGACATAATATGTCTATCACTGGGGGTTTGTTGGATCTACGACAAAATCCGCTATATCAAGATGCGTTGTGTCGTAATTCAAAAGATCATCATCGGGGTCGTCATCATTATCAACGTGATTAGTCTCGACCTCCTTCCCCTTTTTCTGCAGTGAAGCTTGATAAAGATCGGGTAGGTGTTTGGCTGTTCTGCAGGTATTGGCCCAATGGCCTTCAATGCCACACCGGTTACAAATGCCGATTTGCCTCTTTCCCTATTTAGCCTTTTCGGCTATATCCCCATGTTGGGGTTTACTCTGCATCCTGTTAATGTCAAAATTGCGGCGATTGTAAGGGGTATATCGACCGCGTTGACTCTTACGACCGCGACCACGTCCACGGCCTCTACCACGTCCTCGGCCTCGTTCAGAAAATATCACGTTCGCTTCAGGGAACGGACTGGAACCAGTGGGCCGGGACTGATGATTTTTCATCAGTAATATTATTTTGCTCAGCTAATAAAAGACATGCAATGAGCTGTGAGTACTTTTGAAAGTTTTTCTCATGATACTGCTGTTGCAGCACAACATTCGAAGCATGAAAGGTAGAGAGAGTCTTCTCCAATTTATCATTCTCAGTAACATTTTCTCTGCAGAGTTTCAACTGAGATGTAATCTGATGGATAGCAGAGTTGTACTCCGTAACAGTTTTAAAATCCTGCAATCGCAGGTTAAGCCAATCATGTCGGGCTTTGGGGAGAGTGATATATTTCAAGTGCCCAAATCTCTCCCTCAATTCATTCCACAAATCAAGTGGATCTTTCACCGTCAAATATTCAGACTGTAGAGGAATGTCTAAATGATGACGGATGAAAATAATAGTCTTAGCCCGATCTTGGCTTGTAGCCGCATTTTCACTGTCAATTGTATGAACAAGGCCCATAGAAACCAAATGCATTTCTACATCCAGGGACCAAGTCAGAAAATTATTGCCGGTGAGAGACAAAGGTTTAAAAGAAAATTTTGCAAGATTTTCCATGGTGTAGAAAATAGATAATATAGATAGTATAAAAATAAAACTTACCAAAAATAAAATAGGCAAGAGCCTTCGTGCTGATAACGTGTTATATAATAATTATATAATATAATATTATTAAGTATATATATCAAATATTATAAGGCAATGTGTGTATATATATATAATATAATAATATATGCAAATGTTGTAAAGCAAAGGTGAGGAAATTGAATGCGAAATTGTGTATTTATTTTATAATAAAGGATATACATATATATAGGCGTAGGAGGCGGTGAAGTACATGATCATAAAACATCCACATCTCGTCGACGTGGTGGTTGTGTGGTGTGTAACACAAAAAAAATTTAAAAAAAAAAAAATCAAATAAAACAACTATTTTTATTTATGTATATTATATTAAAAAAATTTACATTAAATACATAACATCAATACATATTTATATAATATCAAACAATTTGTTAAATTAAAGATTTTAACTTTAAACTCCTAACCAAATATATAGCTAGAGTTTATTTATATAATTTTCTCTCCAAAAAATATCAAATAAAACTTTTATTAGTTATTTTTTATATTATGCAAACCTGTCATTATTTTGATTTTGGTTACACAGTGAATTGATTTTCCTTTGTGGTATTCTATTTTCATTGATTCGAATAAATTCTTTTTTTGATAACTCTAAATCATAACATGAAGAAATTTGCGATATAACAAAATAATTAGTTTACCTAACTATCATATGGAAGAAGGATATTGGTTCGAAATGACCATCCAAGGGGTTACAAATTACCTCTTGCGTAGCGACTACCAATATGCTCCATGTTAAGATTTATCCTTATCCATATCTATATCTTTATCTATATTCATATCCTATCTATATATATCCATATCATATATATATATATATGATTTAGTTAGTTATTAGGATATATTTCTAAATGCTTATATGTGTATATATATATGTTCTTCCATTTTTTTTTCTTTTGGAATAATAAATTTTATTTCCCCTATTTTCTATATGGTATCATAGATAACTGGGGTTTAGGTAAAATTAGGGTTTAATTTTCAATCGCAGCTTTGAGTTCCGCCGCCGCTAGTCCCAACAATTGCTGCTACTTCCTTTCAAACCCTAATTATACCAAACATCTAGTTTTTCTTCTACTTCAATTTGAGTTATCTTTCCCACTAACCAACACCATAATTCATCTCTCAACATACCGGCGACACCAACCACGATGAGAGAGCCGTCATACGTGCCCCCATGCGCCTTCATCGGAGGACGACCTAGGTTTGGTTTCAACCATTTTTTTTTTTTTTTATCCTGGTGGCTTTTTCAGACATGTACTGCACCGGCGCATTTCTCTTCTCAAAATATGTCGGGTGGTGTCGCCGCCGCCGCCATGTGCCGTCAGCTATCCACCGGACTTTTTCTCATGGAGCTTTTTTGTTGTTGTTTCTATGGTTGATCCATTTAAAATTCAAAATTTTCACCGATAAATTATGAAGTGTATCTAATTATAAGTCATGGGCTGCATCTATACAACTTTGGTTCAAAGGACAAGGGCAATCTAACCATCTTACAAAGAGAGTCGGAAATTAAAGAAGAACTTCGATTTAAATAGGCAAAAGTTAATGCCCAATTATATGTGCTTTACTGCGGAAATTAAAGAAGAACTTCGATTTGAATAGGCAAAAGTTAATGCCCAATTATATGTGCCTTACTGTGGAATTTATTGGTTTAAACCATACTTCCCACGTATAAGTTATTTGAGACATGCTATGAAGTCTGGAATAAGATTGTTTCCATTTACATCAATGATATTTAATGCTACTCTCCAGATCCGTTTTACTTGAAGATCACACACTTGATCTTCCTACTTGTGTGGGTAAACTAGAAGCTATTCGGCAGGAGTTTCGTTCCTTTATTTCTACAATTTCTGCAAATCACACACATGATTTTCCTTGCATGGGTCACAATATTAATCTACACTTTTATCTGAAACGTCTATGGCATTCCTACATAGTCGACTTCCTTATATTCTACCTATAATTGTGCGTTTATTTGTAGGGGTTTCGATTTTGGATTGACAGATGTTATATTGATTTTTAAATAGAAGTAATTATTTCATGGGATATTTACCAAAAATTCGTTGTCAATGTCCATAAGAATTTAAAATTAACTTTATCATAGGAAATAAAAAATATTCGTAACTTTTTTCGAAAAATAAAAATTTAGTGCGGAATACAAAAATATAAACCAAAATCTTTTAAAGATATAATTTAAAACTTGTATTAAAAAAAATAAATCCAAAGAAAAGAATTTTTAGTACATCAACTACAAATATTATTCCATCTATTTATATTATGTCTTAACTTAAAATAAAAAAAATAAAAAAAATCCTTACACAAACATTTAATCAAATTTCTCTCATTGAATCAAATTATAATCATTACGCCTAATGTGATTATTAAAACCAAAATGGTACAAATAAACATACTCTAAAAATAGGTCCACCTGTCATGTATGGTTCGTCCTAGTGTGACTTGTCTTATCGAACTTAGTTTGCAGAGTGCTAGATTCGACCTAGGGTTTACCCAACGCACACTTTTGAGTAGCAGCCAGGTAATAAATAAATAAAAAAAATTAATGCAATTCTATTCATTTACTTTTTATAATTCTATTTATAAAATGTGTTAGTATAAATTTATTTTATATGCTACAGTTAATGCTAGTATATGCTGTGAATAATTACCGTATGCTATATTTATATTATATTAATATAAATAATTAATATCACATACTCTTTCTATCCATCAATATTTTACTATTACCTAGAAGAATAAAAACACATTTTTATTTTTAACTTTAGTTACTTTTTAGTAACATTTTTTGTTATATTATGTAAAATGTAAAAATACTTTTTATTGAAACAAAAATTATAAAAATGTAATGAATACATTGTTATCATTTTATGATTAGAAGATTCAAAACAATAATAAAGTTCAAATATTGTCTAAAATAATCTAAACTTGGAACCTATTCTATCCTATGTTCTATATATATATATAACACTAGCGTAATAGTATTTTGAGATTTCTGCAATATTAAAATTTTGAGGTGTTTTAGATTTTTTTTTTTTTTACAATTTTTTTAATTATTTTAAGTATGTTAGTGGATATACAGTTTTATTCAATTAGCTGGTTTGACTAGCTGATTAGATTAGTTGTTTGTATTAAAATGTTTGGTAAACAACTGTTTGATATTAGCTGTTTATACATAAAATGACAATTAAAGATATTGATATGCTATTTTTTAAAATATTTAATTTTGTTCATTTTAGTTTGAAATTGATGAGAATTTTTGTTATTAATTATTGAAAATTATAAAAATATTATAAAATTTCTATTTTTATTTTTATTATTTAGATTTGAGAAAATTATTTTTACTAAAAAATAATAATTTTTTATTGAAATTATATAAAATATAAAATAATAAATATTTCGTATATATATTTTTATTATGTTAATTATTGTTTTAATATATATAAATAAGTTACTAACCTTTGTTTTTTCTATTTGCTATAATTTTAAAAATTTATATATTTTATAAATAAAATAATTTATATGTAATAATTAATAATAATAATTATTTTAAATTTACAAAAATAAAAAAATAATTTAATAAATTAAATATATTAAAAATAATTAATAGATACTGCTATAAAAATATATTTATATGTAGAAAATAAATAATTAAGTTTTAAGAGTAAATAAAGAATAACCCAAATTTAAATGAAAAAGCTTTTTCAAAACGCTGGTAGATGAGCTTTTGAGAAATTAGCTTTTTGGATCTTTCAAGAAGCTAATTTACCGAACACCTAAATTAACTTTTTAACTGGTCAAAACAACTGTTGAATAAACTAAATTTTTTTCAAAAAACTCTTTCTCAAACACCCTTTTACTCTGCTTTATCAGATTATACAAAATCAAGCTATGATCCATTCAAAGCAGTTGCAATCAGGAGATAATTTCAATCATCATGAGTATTTTTTTTTATAAATAAATAATTATATTTTTTTAATAATTTATATTGTACATGATTGTATTTATAATTGATTTTTGCTGTTATTTATTTTCATTAGAAAAATGAAAAATATATGAATAAGATAAAATTATAATTATTTTATGATATTCTATGAAGGTTGTTACCTATAAATAGGGAGATTTTTTTAGATTTTTTAGTATTTGTTACGAAAATAATGCATGTATATTAATTAATTTTTTTGAATTATTTTACTTATATATTTACATATTTATTTTTAAAATTATTTAAAATTATAATTTTGATATTGTTAACCAGCTTGACATAATTTTTATAAAAAAGATATATAAAAAATGTAATTGTATTTATAATTTTATATAATTTTTTTGTTTATTTTTATATTAACATATTTTTATATATTTGTAGTAATTAATAATTTGTATTTTCTTCTAATATTTAAAATAAAAATATAAGTAAAATTATAGAAAAAAGAACTTTTCATTGAAAAAAATTAACCACTAAAATAATAAAATATAAATATATTAAATTATGTAATTATTTTACATATATATTTTTTGATTTATTTTAAATATTTATAAAATCAAATAAAAACATTATAATAATTAAATTTAAATATAAATATAGTTTAAATGGTATCCGTCCCAGATATTTTGTTCGCTTTATTGTAGACAAGAGAATTTAGGAGGGATATAATTAGTAAATAATTAAAAATATATTAGTAAAAATAATTATTGTATAATAAAAAAATTATAAATTAAGATTAAAATAACTGATTAGTATAATTAAAATTAAAAAAATATATAATAAAATTTTTAAAAATAAAATTAAAGTTCTTTTAGAGAAAAAGTAACAAAATAAGTGGGACAAATAAAAATAAAAAGGTTGATATGAAAAGTGGGAAGGAGTATTAGTATATCTTTATTTATTTTTAACAATTAAATTACGGTTACGAGCTCCTGCTCGTTAATTTAGTGCATATGGCAAGATGGATAAGCATGATTAAGGCGGGAAGTAATCCCAGTATAAATACGCCACGTCAAACCTATACTAGGGTTTTTTTTTAATGCGCCAATATTTCCACCTCACAGCACAATACAAAATCCACTCTGCACCAAATGGCAGTTTCCGTCTACATTTCCCGGCGGCCATTCACCCCGCAGCCGCTGCCCCGCCGCCCCGCCGCCGCGCTCTGCGCCTCGACCTCAATCAACTTCCGTCATGCACCGTCTCTCGTCCGATGCTCCCTCCACCGCCCCGAATACATCCCCAGCCACATTCCAGACCCTAGGTACGTTCGCATATTCGACACCACTCTACGCGACGGCGAGCAGTCCCCCGGCGCCACCATGACCACCAAGGAGAAGCTAGATATCGCCCGACAGCTTGCGCGCCTTGGCGTCGACATCATCGAGGCAGGCTTCCCCGCCTCCTCCGACGCCGATTTCGACGCGGTCAGACTCATCGCGCAGGAGGTCGGGAACGCAGAGTGCGACCATGTCCCGGTCATTTGCGGCCTGGCGAGGTGTAACAAGCGGGACATCGATCGGGCTTGGGAGGCCGTGAAGGGCGCGAACAAGCCGAGGATTCACACGTTTATCGCCACCAGCGAGATTCACATGACTTACAAGTTGAAAATGTCACCGGAGCAGGTTATTGACAAGGCTCGGAGTATGGTGGCTTACGCCAGGAGTTTGGGCTGCGACGATGTCGAATTCAGCCCCGAAGATGCAGGAAGGTACGCATACTTTTACTTTTAAGCCACTTTCAGGTGCAATTCTTTTTGCTTTCGCTTTACGCTATCTGTTCGTTTATTTCTGTGTCGGAATGCTAAAAAAAGTTATGGATCCTTATAATTAGGTTTTCGGTCGTCTCAGTACATCTAGAATATTAGATCGGACCACAATGTTCCTACTCAGCCCCACCCCCAGCCTAGAAATCTAGATTCTGTTTCGTTCCATCCTAAGTCCTGAGATTGCATAAATCATGCTAAGGAACAATAGTAATTAAGTACTTTTGAAAATGAGGACTGAGATGAATCAGGACAAGGCCATGACTGTCTCTTATTTTTTAGAATAAGACTGGATATGGTCGGTCATGTAGCCACCCCACTCCTAGCCTTATGCTATTATGTTTGACATACTGTTCTGGAGCCTAGCTTCACCTAAAGTGGCTTATTGAAATGGCTGTGTGCAGAATTTTATTAGGTGAAAACAGTTCTGAGAATTAAATTGTAATGCATGAAAGCATGCCGAAAAGCTTTGGATAATATTTTGTCTTGGACACTTGGTGTTTAAAAATACATTTTGGATGTGTTATGGACAATTCACCACATGGGAATATACAAAGCTACATATACGGCTATCTTCAGACCTTACTTTAACATAAACTCCCTTTAGGTGCTGTCAGGCGTATTATTGCTCTAGGTTAATGTAACAAGATCTTCATGGCTGTTTGGTTGATGGATTTGGTGGAATTCCATGGGATTTGGATTTTAAAATCCTAATGAATTCATGTTTGGTTATGAATTTGAAGAAGAAATTTAAAGTGCATGGGATTTTAATATCGTGCAAATGCAGGATTTTTTTGGTACCCCTCCTACTTTAAAATTCCATTCTATTTCATTTACATTTTATCATTATACCCTTCTATCCAACAAAAAATCATATTTCTTCTTCCTTTTTAATATTAAAGGTATATATATTTATATTTAAATTAAATTTTTTTGGCTTTATAAAATATAATATTTTATTTAAATATTCTACAAATCATATATTTATTTATAATCATTAATTTTATTTATATTTAATTATTTTACTAATGATAATTTAAATAAATTAATAATTTAAAATATCAATTAATATAAATTTATTTTACTGGTGTATTAATTATGTATTTTTAGTTTAAAGTATTTTTTATATTTTGTATGAATCTATATATATTATATTTTTTTATTATTAATCAAAAACTGTATTAAATTCTTTTTTATTAGAACACACCAAATTTGGTAAAAAATAAAAAATAAAGTTCACTAAAAAAAGAAATGGATGTAAAGTTTAATTTATCACAATAAATAAAACTCGTGGAAGGATAATTATGTTATTTAAAATATCAGAAATTCAAATCCTTCAATTAATCTATAAAACAAACTGGATTTGAAAATATAAATCTCAGGTAACTTTACCAACCAGACAGCACATGATTCCAAATTCTAAATGCAATAAATTCTATCATATATAAATCCTGCTGTAAAATTCCAATCCCATTAAAAAAGTCCCTGAACCAAACAGTCCTTAAGATTTCCACCTCTTCAATTATTATTATTATTTATTTATTTATTATGAAAATAAAAAAAGCATACTGGGAATGGATTACAAGATCCCATAGGTGCTTAACAGAGCAAAACAGAAATAGAGACCTAAAAATAGCAAAAAAAAGATCTGAGTAGCAAACTAAAACAAGTAGCAAATTAGGATAATGTGAAATCCCAAGACCAACAGCACCTGACATGACTGCACAAAAGGAGTTCTAACCTTTTAAATTACCTTTAGGATGTGTTTGTTTGAAGTATTTTCCCCGATTTCTACTATTCATCAATTTTTTTCCATCCAAAAATATAAATTCAAATACTTAATTTCCACTATTTATATTATACTAAAAATAAATTTTATATGTAAAGCATCATATCAACACTTATTTATATTAGATCTTACAACTATTCCAATTCAAAATTTTTACTATTTAAATCCCAACTCAAAATCCAAACTCTTAAACAAACACACCCTAATGTGGCACTACTACATTCGTTAGTACAGTTTATTTGGTAAGCAATATTTTAGTGGACAAATTTAAAAAATATATATATTTATATATTTTTATTGTATATTTGTAGCATTATGTTTTAGATGAAAGGGAAAAATAGTACTTTTTAAGCTTGGATGAAATCAATTGATAGTGGAGTATAGCTACCTATGAGCAAATTGAAGAAGTGTTTGGAAATGCTTTAATATTGGCACAAAAAGGGCCTTTAACGATTGAGGCCACCGGGCTGCACTCATTAGATCTTGCCATCTGAATGCTTTTAACCTACGCAAATGGGAGGTTTTAACCCATCTAAGAAATGACAAGCCCCGGAACTTCGTTTTCTGCTTGGATGAATATGTCCAATGATTGTCTATATCGTCCCATCTTGCTCGATGGCCACAGAAAGTATAATAGTTATTGCTTAATGGTGGTTGAAATGTGAGACGAGAGCCCAGAAGAACTTCTATCACAATGAGATTGCATAATGCTGTTGATGCCAGTGAAACCGATGCAATGCTTTTCTTCCCATTGCCACAGGGACTTTCAACTCATTATCATGAAACATCTGCTGCTGCTGCTGCTTTGCATGCATTATCCATCCAATTGGGTCCAAACTGTTTCAAGTGGATAGACTTTGTTTTGGGACTATAGGAGATGGGCTTGTGCTTGTCCATGTCTGCTTTGCCCTGTAATGCTCACCTTTATGGCTGGCTTCGGTGATTCAGGTGCAACTCACTTGCTCTGCCTTTGGCCGTAGTAAGGTGGCTACAGCTATCAAGAGTTCGGTCATCCGTGCTTTAATGGCTTCTACAGTTGATTCACCTTACCTAGTTGAAGCCACATTTCTTGTTTTCTTGTTGGGCCTCCAACACTTGGTGATGCAATTGTAATCGCAAAATGACTACTCGTTGAACTACATGTATAAATTATAGAAAAAAACAGGCAAAAGCGATAAATTTATATATATATATATAATATAAAGGATAAACTGAAACTTTGAATTTCTATCGTCACAAATATTAATTCTTACATCCAAAAAGATGGCTGTAACTCAAGAATATCAACAATAGCTTAATTTAATCCTTCCAAATTTCTTTCTGTTATCCTTGTCACTTGTCAGTGATGTTGACTTTCACATGATAATCTCTATCAACATCTTGGCTATACAATATAGAATGTACTTATTAGAACGTATGCAGCTATTTAGCAGAAGTTGTACAATCACAATCCATTTGATGTATTCCATGATTGTATTGTTTGATATACTATCTGCTGCTAGCTATCACTAAAGCAACTTGCAATCCAGAACCCTGTACAATGGCGAATCAGAAGTGCTGCTCGTTGCCTTGCCAGTGTTATGCCAATCCAATATCAATTCTACATTTTGTTCCTACTCCAAAACACTCCAAGTGTATTCCTCTAGAACAATGACAACTTCATCTTTGGTCTCAAATTGGTGTTGTAATTCCATTGTGCTAGTAGCTGTGGTCAACATGAAGATTGGTTGTAACCATCATTGTCACCTCATAATCATAAGAAATTTGGATTTTATTTTTATATGTTAGAAAATCCATTTTGAAATTGGGCAAGATTCATTTATCCATAGATCTGCAACGCTTCCTAACCCATTTTCATTAGTGGACTTCTGATGCATTTCTTGAACATCATTATAAATTAGATTAGGTTCCACTGTTCTAGTAGATATCTCTTCAAGATGAGCTGTTTATCATTACAATAGGCATCAGTAAATCCATGAATATTTCATTATTATGATATAATATGGTGTATCATGTCCAGGAAAATGTTTGATTGATACTCTAGTTTCTAAATTACCTGCAATTTTTAAAACCTCACGAACTATATTATTACTTGTATGTGTTATAAAAGTTTGGACTTTGGATCGAGGTGTACTAGCAACATGGAAGATTGATTATAGGAGTGAGATGCCTAATCATTTTTTCTATTATTTTTCTCTCGGTCTTTCTTGACTTATTTCTGTCTTGCACTCTTGCTTGACACTTGCACAAGACAGCTCCTAGGATTGCAGCTTCCTGGTAGATTTTCAACTTCTAGTTTCTTTCTTACAGATCAGACAGGGGTTTTCTTTATCAAATTCTTGGAGAAGTTATAAATGCAGGGGCAACAACTCTTAACATTCCTGATACAGTTGGCTACACACTGCCCAATGAATTTGGACAATTGATTGCTGATATAAAAGCCAACACCCCTGGAATTGAAAATGTAGTAATTTCAACCCACTGTCAGAATGACCTTGGACTTTCTACAGCTAATACCTTAGCGGTATGGAACTTCTTTCTTTGCTTGTTGTGATGTGCAATACCAGCCTTATGTTGTACACAAACTAAAGCTCATTTAATTTAGGGGGCCCAAGCTGGTGCAAGACAATTAGAGGTGACTATTAATGGCATTGGTGAAAGAGCCGGCAATGCTTCATTAGAGGAGGTGGATTTTTCTTGTTTAAAATCCTTTGCCCTTTTTATTTCTTTTAGGTAATTTTATTCATTGGACTATTTTATTATTATCTTTCTGAGTAGAAAAGTATCACCTTTCTCTGCCTACCTAAGTTACCTGGTCTCAATTTTTGGCGTTGGTGAAAGGAGTTCTAAACTCCTGATGATGAAATGCTTAATTAGTTGAAGATAACACGATGTATTTTTAGGTCTGGTTTACAAGTTTGTTTTGCTATTATGAAAGTATCACTAAAGACTAACCACTATCAAGCATACAGCCCTGCTTGTTTATGCACTGAAAATTTATTGATTGTTTTGAATTTTTTACATCTTCTGTATTTGCTTTATAGAGATAATTATATAATAAAGGATCACTGTCCAATATCTGTCTGAGTAGTGCAGTTATTAGAATATGGGGATGTTGTGAAGCTGCTTGTTGCTTGCTTTAATTTGTTATTATAATGCCAACCTTACCTAGTGTTCTATCCATTTTCTATAACTGACCACAGTGATGCATACTAGGTGCATCATGTTACCATCGGAGTCACTTCCTCTCACCCAGGGGTGTGTTTGGAGGTTTGAAGTTTGGTTTGGGCTTTGAATAGCAAATTTTTGAATTGGAATAGTTGTTTGATTTGATATAAATAGGTATTGACGTGATGATTTTTAATATAATATAAAAAAATGAAGAAAATGTGTTTGATTTGGTTAACATACAGCTTTCCTTGATCAAATATATTTTTCTACATTTACTATGTTGGATTATGTGGCATATAAAGATTAACCCATCCTTGGATGATTGGTGGCAAACTTAACTGTAATATTTAATTCCAGCTATTCGTTTGTTGCTAGCTTCAACTATTCTATGCTATTTGTTTCTTGACTTTTCTATTTGACTGTTGGACATAATTTCTTCAATTGCTTTATGCCATGTAGATGCTGAACTACGGCTTAAGTTTTGAACCTTTCAATAAATTTTCCTATGTTCAATTTGTGAGGGAGTGTCAACTAATTAGTACTCTGTTCGTCCGGGCTAATTATGACAATTTGTTTGGGCACGGAGACTAAGAAATTTTGATATTTTGATGTAAAGACGGGGTAGGTAAAAAGTAAAATGAGGGTATCATTAGAAATTTGTTAAAGAATTGATAAAAAAGAAAAAGTATTGCCAAATTGGTTATTATTTGATAAAATATGGGTAAGAAAATTGTGGTGAACAAGGTTGTTTACTATAAATGGGTTGTGCATAAGTTTAATGGACAATGAAAAAAATTCTGACATAATTATAGCGGATGGAGGGAGTATTATTTATGATATCTAGTGTTTTTAGATTTGATTATGGTAGTTAGATTCACTTATTAGTTTATTAAATTCTACTTTTATGGGAGTATAAATCATAGTTAGAATTTGATTTATGTTCCGTATTATTTTGCAGTAACAGTTTATTAATAGGATGTTACCATTTAGTTTAGTGGGGAAAACACAATCCATAATTTCTAATAGACAAGGTAAATTAAGATTACTTGCAAGTGTGGCTAAATCATTACCATTTTTATTTTAGAATAGAAGTTTTTTTTTTTTTTTTTTTAATTTTATTTTTTGTCATTAATGTCTTGTAAAGAAAAAGAGTTATACGCAGTTGTTTCAAAATAGACACAGCAAAAAATGATTACTAAATCAATACTCTATTTCTATGAAGGCACGGAAATAAAGTAATAAGCATTGCAGGTTGATGAATCTGAAAATTATATGGCATTAGAAAGGAAGAGAAAATAATAGAGTTAACTGTAGTAATGAATGGCGATTTTCCTCCTAAAAACACAACTGTCTGTTTAGAAAATATATTATTAGTAGAATTAATCAATTCCCCTACACTCTATAGGTTATTAGTCTTTGTTCTTCTGTAAAATGGGCTAATTCTACTCGGGTGCAGGTTGTGATGGCCTTGAAATGTCGGGGAGGTCAATTGTTAGATGGTCTTTATACTGGAATCAATACCCAACACATTACTATGGCAAGCAAGATGGTATGACTATGCTTTCTATTCATTTGATGATCTTTTTTTCGGATGCTGCTTTACTGGGCGGACCGTGAACACTTCATATGTCAAACTATATCTGTTGACTGAATACTATTTATTTTATTTTATACATTACTGATTAATGATATATTGAAATATGCTGTGTTGTTTCAATTTCAAATACAATTATATATCTGCTGGGTATAAATGTTTGTTTTGCTAGTGTTAGGGTTAAAATATCCTTTAGATACTTCACAGAGTAGGAATCTTGAAATTAGGGAGAAGTCACAAAAGGTACGGAAAAAAAATCAACCTATATATGTGTGTAAAATTTTCAGTCAGTGCCGACTTAGAGCCAATTTTTGTAGCTGTTTTTATGCATGACTTGCACTTTCAAAATGAGTTGCAAGGGAAATTCCTGTCATATATTCTCTCCACATTATATTAGGTTGCTGAACTTTTCTTTTATAAAACTAAATGTAGTTGCTATTATCTACTTTGTATTTTAGGTTGAAGAGTACAGCGGCCTGCGTGTCCAGCCTCATAAAGCAATTGTTGGAGCTAATGCCTTTGCCCATGAAAGTGGCATTCACCAGGTTGGTGTTAAAGGTTGATTGTTTGACAATGTAGTTGTTCCCTAAGCAGCTTACATATTACTATTAATACCGCTTTCACTGAGTGGATGCCAATTTGATCAAATGCAGCTTCTAAGGTAAATTTACATCTTTTAACTTGTTTGCATGAGTGGAGGGCACTTTACGAAAATCCTTTATAATATAAAGTTTATATGCAATAAAATATCAAATAAAAGCAATTAGGCTTAAATGGCCAAATATAGGCCCTTGGCCCAGAACTATCCTATACACATTATTAAATTCTTGAAGTAAGTCATACTTGATAATTATATTATCTGCTGTGCTGTTTGTTATATACATGTCGTACTTAGAATAGTTGCATTTCTCAGGTTATGATTTGCTACTAATACCAGGTGTGTTTACTTGTGTTTTGTTGTTTTGGATTTTGAAGTTCAACTGATTGTTTGATATGATTTTTGGAATGGAAAACAGTTATTGGATGCCATGCATTTGAAAAGGGAAATTCGATTGTATTTTCCACGTACTTTCCTTATTGCTTATATATGAGATCATTTTCCCTAACAACATGATTGATGAGAATGAATGAAATAAACAAGTATACGGCATACATAAGAATGGAAAAAAAAAAAAGAAAAAAAGAAGTGAATGGTATAATGTTCTTAAACATCATTCATGGTTTATATGGATGATGAATGATAAAGGTATGTTACGATTTTATACTTTTATGAGGTTTGCCTTTTTGTGGCGTTCTTACTCTTGTCTTTTTTGATAACTTGATATTTTAGACATGTGGAAACCATGCATGTTTTATGTGTATAAGTTAATATTGTATAGAGTACTCCCAACACTGACAAATACCTTTCACTAGGTGGATGGTAAGACCTTTTCTGGATTTGATGTCTATGTGTACAACTTGTTTCTTATTACATTTGCAGTACCATTTGTTTTTCAAATTTTTCTTTGATTGTACAAGATATCAAGAAAGGTGAAAGATTGATGTAGGGATTGTAATAACTTACTAGCTCAAGAGAAAATATAGGAGAATTCTTGTTGTCTTTCTGGTCACTTGGCCTGCATAAATGGACGGAGCTGATGTAGGTTAAATAGTTTTTTCAGCTATTCATAGTGATGTGTGATGGAAAAACTTTTTCAATATATGGTTTCCTGTGATGGAAAAACTTTTTCAACTTTCGTAGTAGAGGTGTTGGTGAATCCTCATGTCCGCCCATCGTGTATGGCTATCGCTGTTGCCCTTTTAACAGATGTTTGGTGGATGAGGATGATGATATGTACACTGATGTGAAATTTGAGAAATTGAAGGTTCTTTTTGATGTTTTGCAATTTTAATATTATGACATATTGATATTTTTAGTTTCATGATAGTTATATTTAATACTTTGATATTTTGATATTTTTAGTTTCATGATAGTTATATTTAATACTTTGATATTTTGATATTTTATTTGAAATGTAGTGATTTGATGTTATAATTTTATATTATATAATTAAATATTAGAAACTTATAATAGGTAGGTCGCCGTATTGCCATTTCGGGCACCGTGCGCCTAGGCGATATGGTAGTCCAATGACGTTGTACCTAAATCCTGGCCGTAACAACCTTGGTGTTGAGTATCCCACATTCGAATTAATGTTGGGACTCTCCTACCTTATAAGGATGAAGGGTTACTCGATATAGTACCAATTGATTTTAAGTTAGAACTTCGGATCATTTCTTAACAAAATAAAAGATGGTCATGTTGGCAGCAATTCGGAAGGTAGTCGGGAGATTTCTCTCAACCAGACCTGATGTTAAAATTCAGAAATCAAATAAAAGATTACTAAATGGTAAAAGAACAACCAAAAAAAAAAAAAGAAAAAAGATGTTTCCCAGTTGCCTTGAGTACATTGCTGAATGGTAAAGAATCAGTTATTTAACCAAAGATAGCATTATATTTGCACTAGTAGCTGTTGCTTTCTGTTTTTTCTTATTCCGGTTAGTATGCCATTTGTTTTGTGGTGTAAACTACATTACTTTCTATTATGTTCTAGTCGATCGCTACATTTTGTAATTATATATCTTATTTTCTAAGCCTGTCCCTTTACCTGTGAACCCACCCTTGTTGTAGGATGGGATGCTAAAACATAAAACAACTTATGAGATTATATCTCCAGAAGAAATTGGACTTCTTCGGAGTAATGAATCTGGTATAGTTCTTGGAAAACTCAGGTATGCTGGATATATCCTTCTTTTGTGGTGCCCTTTGTTAGTATTCATTTTCTTACTCCATCTCTCAAGATTCCTGAAAATGGATGCTTAAGGTTTATGTATCCATCTATGAAATTTCCATTACAGCTTAATATGTTCAGTTCCACCAGCTCATGTATATGCTGACTAGATTTGCTTGTTAGAAAAAAGGTTTCAGTGCATAACCCTGTAATATGTAATAGTTTTTATTTATTAATTTGTATATAAGGTGGTCTAGAAAATAATTCCTAATGTTGGGTTGATGCTAATAATAAAACATCAGAAATAATATCTCTATCAAGTATGTTACTGGTCTTATTACTTATAGCTTGTTCATCGTCTGTCGAGGTGCAATTATTTTAACTTAATATTCCTATGATCTACTTAGATGAAAGTGGTTGTTATAATAAATTGCAGACAGTAGGGGCTGTTGTACGTGTAGGTGTTTGCGTTCGCCAAAGCTGATTAGTATCTTAAAACTAACTATTGGCATGTTTAAATGACATTTTAGACTTTTGATGTTTTTCGCTGGGTGACAGTACTTTTTTATTTATTTTTATATAATTAATGGCTCATGCTCTGAAAGCCAAAATATTGGAGGTAAAGTAACTTCATATTATTTTTGTTTGTTTTTTCGTTCATTCTACAGTGGCCGCCATGCTCTAAAAGCCAAAATATTGGAGGTAAAAGTAAATTTGAGTTAATGTATGAAAATTGTGTAATAACATCATCATTGATCATCTTGTCTTTTATTAATGATTTTGCAGCTTGGTTTTGATATTGATGGCAAGGACCTTGATGATCTATTCGTACGTTTCAAGACTATAGCAGGAAATAAAAAGGTGTTAATATTCTCTAATAGTTACTACTTCATTTTCCAAAGAGTGATGCATTCAGAAAGTGTGCTCCATATGCTAGCTAACATTTTGCAAATTGCAAAAAAATGGAGGTTTCTTAGTTTAAGAATAGTTGACATCAGAATCCATATGAATGATAAAAGTTTGAGGAAATGTAAAGCAAAAGTGTAGAATGTGCTGGTTTGTATTGGGTATGAAGAATGAAGATCTAATGGGTATGTATTGGTTTGACAATTACCATCTGCACAGTCAAATCCTTGGCGTTCTTATTGTTTGTAACATTAAAAAAAAAAAAAATCATATGCGCACTAGAAATGAAGTGAAAGCACTTAAAAAATAAATTGTGTGAAACAAGTATTATGAGTGAGCTAACTTATAACCTGGTAACTGTAAATATCATCCTAGATACTTGACATATTTTATATTGATGGCCTGATTGATTTTTATCTGTTAGAATTTAGATCCTCTCCTTCCGCATAAATGCATACTATTATGTGGTGTATTTTTTCTATTCAAATGTCCAACTTCTAGATTATTTGCAAATATTTCCAGCGCGGTTACAGGGTAGCATATACTGTTACTTTTTTTATTGTTTTGCTTACAGTTAAAAGTGTCTGTTATTAAAAAAATATGTCTTTGTCAGCTTGCCTAGATATCATGTTTTCAAAATTTATACCTACGGTTTGCATATGCTTATATTGCTAAGATTGGGATATTTGGGCACATGTTTCCATCTTTTTGAACAGATTATCACTGATGATGACCTAATTGCCCTTGTTGCGGATGAAGTGTTCCAGCCACTAGTCGTCTGGAAACTTGAAGATGTACAGGCATGTCTATGCTGTGCTTATTACAGTTTTATGGTTGATTGTTGAATTAATTAGAGCGTAATGCTTCATTCAATTTACCATAATTGTTGACAACAAACAGGTCACATGTGGTACTCTTGGCCTTTCAACTGCAACTGTTAAACTCACTGATGCTAATGGCAATGAGCATATTGCTTGTTCAGTTGGAACAGGACCAGTTGATGCTGCATATAAGGCTGTTGATCTTATTGTTAAGGTTTGAAATATATTTCAATTATAACACTTAATATTTTCTATTTCCATGATAGTTATGTTCAGGATGGCGGAAATATATAGACACAATTGTATTCCACTTAGTCAACAGATGATATGCTAGTATTGCAATAACTTAACATATGGCATTCAATCTGAAAGTTTGTATATTTATTAATTTCGCAAATAAATAAATTGTGCAGGTTCCTGTTACACTCTTAGAGTATTCAATGAATGCAGTCACTGAAGGTATTGATGCAATAGCCACAACAAGGGTTCTAATTCGTGGTGAGAATAGTGCTGAAGCAACACATGCTTTGACAGGAGAAACCATCAATCGTGCATTCAGGTAATATCTCATTGTCGAGGTCCTAATTCAAATGTATTGGGTAACCCGGGTGACAGGTAGAGAAATACATAAAGCAGCGGGGAAAAAAAAAAGTGAGTTACGTTTTCAGATTCATTAAACATGATTTTACTTTACTGCCAGTGGAACTGGAGCAGCAATGGATATCGTCATATCCAGTGTCCGGGCCTACATTGGTGCACTAAATAAGCTGGTGGGATTCTGGGATCGCTTGGAAACTAGCAACTCTGGTGAGGCCAAGGTGTTGCATACAGCATAAACCAACTGTTTGTTTGTTGTCTTGTCCTTTTGCAATTGTATCTATAGTGCATTGTTAATAGCCTGAAGGTGGAGAACAGAGTGATCTTTAGGTTCCATCAATTACTACTGTTCTCCGTTCCTCCCCTTCATGTTTCATTTTTTGATCCGTGCAATGGGTGGTCTGGAATATGTGTAGTGTCTTGTATGTAATGGAAGTTTTCTTGATGATGATGATGAACCTATTGAGTAATTTTGCCTCAGATGATGATGCATACGCGAATCATTTCTCTTGCATAGTAAAGCTATGAGTATGTCATTGGAGAAATTATCATTCCTTTCTTCTCATTTTATGTGAAGAAAGTTGCAATGTTTTCATTCTTCCCTGATGCAAGAAATTATCGGTCGGGGTTGGAACTGATCTTCCTTCCAGGTATACTGTGCTGTAAGTAGTTCACCATTTCTGGTTTTTGTTCGACATATTCTGAATAGTTTAGTTCATTGTTATCTCTCATGTTTACATTATTATTTATATATATATATATATTATTTTACAGCCATCAATGCAACTGTATTACATGTCACGGAGAAGCTACATAGGCAAGGATCTATATGACAAGTTGTTTGGGGTTGTGGATTTTCGGAACACATTAGCATAAAAAAAATAATAATAAAAAAAAAATCATCGAAATTATATGTGCATTGGGACTTTCTTTCTTTATATAGGCATTGTGACTATGCTCAGAAAAAAAAAGTGGTCAGACCATAGGATTCAAACGAAATGTATCTGTCTTGTAACTTCCAAAATATTAGAGTGTACTTGTCTTGCATGATAATTGTGATGAGCTGGGTATTTAACCTTTTGCTAGTGATTTCATTCCATTGTTTTGGTCATAAAAAATGTTGAGTTCCATTGAATTGTCTGAGGCAAGTAAAGTACAGACAATGCAGATGGGTTGAAGACCCTTGTAGAGGAGCTAAAATAAATGATTTATATTGATGGCTGAACAATTGAAAGTGGTTTACGACTGATTTCATTCATCTTATGTCTTGGCTTCTTGTTGACTTAACAGATCAGCATTCATATCACAACCGTCGGCTGAATGACACCTTTTGTAATACCCCGGAGTTGGACCGTTGCTTGGCCAACTTCTGTGGATGAACCAATGCCAGGTCATTCGAAGTTGATTAGAAGTTAAATGGATTGAATAGCCTACTAGATTCAACAATGTGCACATTCATTTTCGGGAGCTCTACCGAAAGAATTTTAGAGTTAAGGAACTTGTCCTTAAGTAATTTGAGAATAACTCCTCGGAAGTCTCCCAGGGTGCACATGAGTGAGAACAGAAGCGCGTTGGAAAGATTTGTGTTGACCTATGGAGTCAGCCTATGATATTTCGACATGCCTGATTTTGCGTGGATTGCGGACCGAGGTGTTACACCTTTCAACTTGCGCAATTGGAGATAAGAATTCTACAACCCCACCTCTACCATCTGTCTTCTATAGGTTTGTGGTGAAAAGGATGGGTTTCTCTAGGTTTTGTATGCCTTGTGTTTCGTATCAATATGTTGAATTTGCCCAATCACTTAGGCGAACTTCTTTTAAACAAAGAATGCAGTGTCAACCAAGTCAAGAAAAAATGCTGGGTATAAATGCTATTTTGTTAAGTTTATAGTTTAATTGTTTTCAAGGACTTTGACAATTTTGAAGTCATGACTCATGGAATAACTTATGTAGTTTTATTTTATTTTTCGAGATTATCTTTTCTAGTGCGGATAATGGTACATATTTGTTTGTAAGATGGTCATTTCATTAGATCTTTATGTTGAAGAACTTTAGGCATCTTCCTACCACGGTAATTTCGAAGGTTTTGATCTTTTTATTTTGTTGGTTGGATTAAATAATTTTGGGATCAATGGTAAAATATATGAACACGCTTCAATGTATAATAAAACAATTATATTTAATAGATTACTATACATATATAAATATACTATATGATAATTTTTTGTTGCGGCTATGAACAGATAATTGGTGGTATAAATATATAAACATATTCTATTAAAGATTGATTGTATTTCTTTCTATATAATTATTTCGTTTATTATTGTTGTTAAATATATTAAAAAATATAATTGCAATAATAATATTTTCATTATTGACAACAATATTTATTTAAGTAGCTACATGTTTTAAGTAAAATTTTCATTTTCCATACATTTAAGGTAATATAATTGTGTTAAAATATTTTTATACTTATATTTATAATTTTTTTTTTATTAAGAATAATTTTTTATAAGTAAATAATTCTCTTATTTATTTATAGTAGTAGTATATACATAAAGTCGAACACTTAGTGCTCCTTTGAATTGATTTTAAAACTAAAAAAATTGTTTGGATGTAATAGATTTGAAAGTTCTTTTAAATTGTTAAAATTACTCAGAATACATACGGTTAGTTTAAATGTATTTTTATTTTAAATTGTTGTAATATATTTTTAAAATTTTATAGATAAATTTAAAATATTTTACCAAATATAATAAATAAATATATTTTTAATTTAGTATCACAATTATATTTTATTTTTTTATTTAAATATAATAGATAAATTTAAAATAAAAAATTTAATTCAACTTAAAAAATCAAAATATTAATTTACGTGAATTTAACAAAAATAAAAATATAGTATGTATTAAAGTTCTCAAAGCAATTTAAAGAAAATATTTTTATCGATAACATATTTAAATACAATAATTTAAATTATATCATCTTTGTTGTCGTCGTGGAATTTGGTTCTTAATAGAGTTTTTTTCTCTTTCATATATTTGACACTTTAGATTGTTGGTCCTTTCCATTCTCGTTGATCTTCAATATCACCAACTTCTTCAATTTCTACTATTTCACCAACCTCTTCAAACATCTCAAACACGTCTATATCATAATTCATTCCTTTTATATAATTATGAAGAACGAAGCAGACATATGTAATAGCAAATTGATCTTGAAGATCAAAACAATGTATATTTTGAAGTATCTTTTATTTTGTTTTACGAACTCCGAAAGCTCTTTCAATGATGCTTCGCATATTTGAGTGATAAAAATTAAAGAGCTCATTTTGAGGTTAAAATTCCGGAGCCAACCTAAATTTGGAAGGTAATATATAGTATTTCGGTATGGTTCTAAAATTCCATCAGATATCCCAAATCAACTAGATAATACTTAGATAGAAAAAGAAAAATATATAAATAAATAAATAATAGTAATAATAATAATAAACTAACTTTGTACAAGTTATAAAAATAAATAATAAACATAATGAAATAGTAAGAGAAAATAGTTTATAAAAATATTGTGTACCTTTAGGTGGCAAAGGAAAATTGTGTTTCAAATTACCAAGAGCTTCATAAAATATTTTAATATCATGAGAAGACCCTCCATAATCGATCAAAGCAAAAACGAAGCACATATTAAGATCACATACAATGAGAAAATTGTAGTTGTCATTCCCTTTCGACCAATAAATGGTGTCTTCTTATCATCAAACACATGAATCGCAATGTAAGTCTTGTCTATTGCCCCAATGCAATCTTAAAAATAGGTCAATAACGGATATCATTGCTAAAATATTCTTGAGCATCTTTGAGCATCATTGCTAAACGTCGAATAACCTTTAGAACTCTATAAATATGTTTGGATATTGTCTCTCCAAAATCATGTCCAATCATGTACCAATTCTTTCACTGATGAAGCATGTCCAATCATGTATAAAAAAATAGCCACATATTCATGTAGACTGACATTTCGAGTTGGTTCCAATCCAAACTTTATATTTAGATCAGGTGCTAACTTATAAAATACATGGTTTCTCATTCGGAATTGCTCAAAAAATCATTCTTTTGTGTTCGCATTTTACCTCTTCAACCCAAGCATGTCTAGAAAGATAGGGTGTTCTCTTTTTCTTTTTCTTTATAAAAATAGTACAATCCAATATAAACTCTTGTTAACTTTGTTGCAATATAGAGTGATTATCTATGTTTATTAGTAATATCATATTTCTCTTCATCTTCATCCGATTCAATATCAAAATCTTTATTCATCATGTATATATGATATAAATAAAACACAATATTTATGACAATTAAAAAAAATTCATGAAAAAAAATTATAATAAAATAAATAAACACTTCGTAAAATATAAATAATCAATAAACAAATGTTGAAATAAACATAAATATAAACAAAAGTTCCACAAACAAAAATTTATTTGACAAAAAAATAAACAACTAGGTCACATTCAATGAATTAATAATAAAATAGCTTATTCATAATGTATACATATATATATATATAATTATTTCATTAGAAATATTTTACATCCTCAAAAGAAAATGTGGTCAACAAACTCATAACAACTTCACGCTCGTCTTCCATAAAATAGACAAATACTTCTCTATGTTGTTTGTTCACAAGTACTCGTAATGTCAAATTATAAACATCACTCGAAGGTACTATTTCAGACAAATCTTTAAGTATTTTCAAATAATCTTGCAATTTTTTTTTTTTTTTTTTGCAAGTTGTGATTGATTCATACTACAATCAATTAATTGTTCAATAGATGCTTGAAGCCTATAAGTCCACTTCTCTTTTCATCATTTTTTACTCTCTTTCTCTTTTTTTTTTTTTTTTTTTTTTTTTTTATCTTTATTTTGTGTGTCCGGTCATTTGTCAATTTCTACGTAACTATCACTAACATCCATTGACGATCATAAAACCAAATTTTAAGCACTAGCAAGTTGTTCGTTATTTTCACCTTCAGTTGGCCAAAAATATATTCACTCATAGCAACTACATCCTTAAAATATTTTTCCATCAAATCCAAAAATATCGGAGGATCATATTTAAATATAAGATACTTTGGGTTTTCCTGTATATGAATATATATATATATATAATAAATCACTTCTAATTATTTTAAAATTAATTAATTAAAAGTACGATGTAATTTAGCTTTTGATGCTCATATATCTTCCGTTGCTGTTATCAGTATGACCTAAACAAATTTTGCCCACAAACCAAACTCTATTTTTAAATTATCACATCTATTTTTAAGTTGTTTCCTATCATATTGGCAACCCGTCTTTTCATAAAAAAATTTAATCAAGTTATATCATCCCTCTCTTGTAAAACAAGTGTTTGGTCTATTGCCAACATCAATTTTTTCTTTGCAAATTTCTAAAACAATTCCAGTATTATAGTCTGTTCATTTTGCTTTCTTTTCAAATTTTTTGCTAAGATTAACCGGATTCAATTGTGTTGGCATTATCACGTCCCTACTATAACATAATAAAATTTTGATTGTTATAATCTAATAATAATACATAAAAATAAGCATATTTCAAATACACATACAATTTATAACAATTATGCTATATACAATAATAATAATAATAATAATAATAATAATAATAATAATAATAATAATAATAAAGTAACCGACAGGTCCAAAAAAATATGCAAACAAGCACGCAAGTTTGTTCATAAATATATATATAAATCTGCAATGTATTGAAATAAAAAAGCAATATATATATATATATATATATTTAAATTCCTAATATGGCGTGTATCTTCAAAGTTCTTGAGTTCAATTCTTAATCCATTCCTACCAATCCAATACTACTTCATAAAAAGAAAATATGCAGTCAAATTCGATTCATAATCGTGCAGTGTGATATAAAATATTAAAATCCAATCAGTAGTCCTTTAAAGAAAAAAAATAACAAACTATAAAACCTGAAGATGAAGATAGATATTTGCATTGCAATCAACGACAAGGAAGAAAAATGCAAAATAAATGCAGAAGGAGAAACAAACACGAAGAATCATTGCTAGAGAAAAAGAATTGATCAATAAAGGTGGCTAGGTTCATAGTTTGTTATAAACTTTATTATTATTATTAATAATGGTAAATTCCTAATTTTAATATTAAAGATGTTTCTACTTTTTTTAATCTAAAAGTTGCTTCTACTTTTGATAAAAAGTCAATCCAAACAAGATTGAGTATATTTTTAGAAGTAGAAGTCAAAAACACTTATAAAAATCTATCTAAACGGGGCCTTAATACTGAAAAATCAAATAATTTATTATTCACATTTGTGTTCGGCTAATTGAATTTATTACTTGGTTTAATTACAATTTATTTAATTTACATAAAATCCGATACTTTTTCTTTTAGATAATACTCTTCCTGTCCGTCTCTCATATATTCTATTTTTAGTAAATTTATTTATTTTAAATATATTTAATAAATATAAATCAATTTAATTAAATTTTCAGTTTGAATCCACTCAAAATTATTTTATTTCTATCACCCTTTTCAATAAACAAATAATTCATTTTTATCTACCTTTCAAAGTTCTCATTTTTTTTAGTATTATATAAAATTTTATTATCTATACAATGATATCCATATCATATATCATATATTAATATATATAGCACAAGACACTTTAATTCGTGCATTCTCATAATTTTGAAATTCTTTTATTTTTTAAATAATAAGTTTGGATAATTAGTTAAAATTTGTTAGGATAACAACTAATCTAACAAAATCCAGATTTATCAAGATAACAAATAACAAACATATGGATAAAATTAAGGTTTTGTATATCTATATATATCCCGAGAGATTAAGCCAAATTCGCCAAAATAAAAATTATTATGAGATTTTCATCTAACACTACGCAGGTTAGAAAAAAACGATGATCCAAAATGGTTCCTGCTCTTTTCTCTTTTCTTTCTCCACTTATTCTTTATTTTCAATTTTGTTCTTTACAACTTAGTAAAAGAAGAAATGGAAGGAAAATAAAACTTTAAAACAGAATAAGAATGAGAGAAGGATGGATGATGGACGGTGCAATTTTTTTAAACATTTGTTTTTTTTTTTAATTACAAATGAGAAGAAGAAGAAAAAGAAGATTGTGAAGGAAAAAAGAACGGACGAAATCGTGAGGGTAGAAAAATAAAAATAAAAGGGAAATAAGATGATGAGATCGAATCGATATTATATTTTAATAGTTGGGCACAATATGTAATGTGATATAGTTTAGTTTTGTTACGTATGAAATTTATAATTAGGTTAAAAAACCCAAGTTAGAAGAAAAAATGAGCCTATAATAGAGTTTGTTGGACTGATCGAGGGGTGTTTCGAGAAAATCGGGTGAAATAGACGTATTTCTAAAGAAATATCGGGTCGGAAGGTCCGCAGGTTGAAAGGTCCGCAGGTCGGAAGGTCCGCAGGTCGGAAGGTCCACAGGTCGGAAGGCCCGCAGGTCGGAAGGTCCGTGGGTTGAAAAGTCTGCAGGTTGAAAGATCCGCAGATCAGAAGGTCCGCGGGTCGGAAAGTCTGCGAGTCGGACAGTTTGCAGATCGGGAGGTCTGCAGGTCGGGTGGTCCATAAGGAGGAAAGTCTGCAAGTCGGACGGTTTACAAGTCGGATAGTCTGCAGGTCGGTTGGTCAGTGGGGCGGACGATGTGCAAATCGGAAGGTCTGTGGTCGGGCCAACAAGTCGGGTGGTCTGCAAGTCGGGAGGTTTGCGGCTGGACCAACAAGTCGGGTGGTCTGCAGGTCGGAAAGTTTGCGGCCGGGCCAACAAGTCGGGTGGTCTGCAAGTCAGGAGGTTTGCAACTGGACCAATAAGTCGGAAGGTTTGCGGTCGGACCAACAAGACGGAAGGTCTGCGGTCGGTCCAAGAAGTCGGAAGATTCGTGAATGGATAGGCAAATCGGTTGGTGTGGAGGTCGGATACTGGTGAGAGCGAGTGAGAGTAATAATTTGGTCGGCTAAGGGCACGTGTCAGCAAAAGAAGAGTTAGCAGACGGTTGAAAAAGAGGCGTTGTAACCGTTCGGACGACGGTTTCCAGTATCGTTTCTGAAGAGTATTTAAGGATTGAGATTTGCAACTGACAAATGATCTTCAATCATCTTCAAATGACGACAAAGTCAGTGATTCGGAGATCATCATTTAAATTTTCAGTATTTTACTTTCCATTTCTGTATCGTACAGTGTTTAGAGATTCCTAATCTCAGACGCTAAATATATCAAATTCGAAGATAATTTTTTATTTTCGGATTTTACTTGAAAAAATACATCAACAATATATAAACATATTTTATTTAAAAATAGTAAAGAAAAAAATATATAAAGTATTCCAATTAAATTAATAATTAATACTGATTCTAATAATTTGAAACTTAGTTAATATATATATATATCTTTATTTAAATATTTTTTTATAAATTATAATTATATTTTTTTATATAAATTTTTTTAAAAATAATATATTATAATTAAATTGATTTAAATATTTAATTAAAAATATTAAAAATATAAAATTATAAAATTTGAATATATAATGAAATATATGTACAATATATATTAAATTCTAATCTTAATATTCCACAAAATAAAAAAATATATATATTTTTTCAAAAAAAATTGAAGGATATAATAAATATCAGGATATAATAGATAATTAAATAAAATAAATATTTTTAGAAAAAAAAATCTTCAGTTTTTTCAAATTGAATATATATATATATTTTTACAATTTGCCACTCTCTCGCTCCCTTATATTGTTCTTTTAAAAAATTAAACCAAAAATAAAATAAAATATCCTCCTATTTCATCCCCTCCTCTTTTAATCCCTCGAACAAAAGAGACTTAAGAATTCGAGTTTGTAAAATTTAAAAATTAATATTTTAAAATTTATTCGCAGCATTTAAGTCATTTGACTAAGTCAGAGAATTTGGTGCAATTTCATAAAACCACGTGTGAATTTTGTGCAATTTAACCTTACTTTAATTAAAATTTTAAAAAAAATAAATTTAAAAATTTAAAATCAGATTAAAGATTAAAGTGTGTAATCATTAAAAAAAAAAAAAGTGATATGAAATATGAGACCGGAAACGACAATGTGAACATGTATATGGGACAGTGAGAGTATTATATAAATATATTTATAAATATATTCTCTTCATTCATTAAAATTAGTTCATTTATATTCGACATTAAAATTAAAAAAATAAATATTTTATTAAAAATTTGATAAAGTAAAAATATAATTGGAAGTATTTGAAATTTAATTAGATATTAAATTAAATGAAGAGAGACAATATAATAAATTTAATAGTATTTATTGTAAATAAATATTAAATAAATGGTAACAATTAAATATTAATACGTTTGAATTTGCAATTTGGGGGGGCTAAGGAGTAATATTTTTAATAAAAAATAATTATTTTTGTGTAAGTATATTCAATAAAACAAAATATTTGATTTGTAGTGAAAGATCAAAACCAAACCTAAAAGAGAGGTACTTCCGAGTGCCTATCAATTGGAAAGAAAAAGGATTAAAATGTAGAAATCACCGTCCATAAAAAGACATACACTATACATCAAATAATAGGTTAAAACTAAGAAATCATCAAATAATTATCTAAGGAGACAATAAACAAATAATAATAATAATAATAATAATAATAATAAAATGGAAGATTTCTTCCCACACGTACCTCGGAAACATGAAGCAACTTCTGCAATACCTTATTTCCCTTGCTACAAAAAACCATTTTTATTTTTCCTTCTCCCCTCTTCTTTTACTTTCACTTTGCCTTGCTTATCTGCTCGTCCATATTGCTGCTGGACGCGTCCTCCTGCTTTGAAATTGAGCTCTCTGTTTTATCTTTATGATCAGGCAGGCGTAAGCCAGCTTCCATGTCAGCAGCCTCTGGACGGCTTCCTTCGCCCCTGCAAATTTTTCAATCTTTGGATGATCAACAAGAATGGATTGAATTATACAGAAAATAAACCAATTTTGCAAAATTTGAAGTCGATCAAGCTCTCAAAAATTGCTCGACTCTCTAAAGCTGCATCATAAATGGCTTGTCAAAATAAATGGGATATGTTATAAGATCACCTAAACTCTGCAGCTAATAGGGTAATACATAATTAATTGCATATTATATAGTCGTCCAATAGGATACTTTCAAGACGAGGGCTCGACTAAAAAACATAAATAAATTGCTGAAACTAGAAAGTTGGATCTACAAAAATAAATTGCTCAAAGTAGTTGGAAGTAATTCCAATATTGGGAAAGATGATATATATCCATGGTTTTGTATGGATACCGACATGTAATGGAAGTCGAATGACTTTTTGGTGCATGGTTGACATAACTACCAACATTTTGGATATAGGTGACTCCATGTGACAATCGGCCAAAGCAAATAATAATAATAATAATAAGAGTGCACGAATATGATGAAAACAAAAGTTCTTGTGTACCCGGAATAAACAATGAGCCCCACAGTAACAGCACCAAAAGCTATGAAATAAAGCCAATCAACCTGCAGAAAATTGGAGTTTTATATAGCATAACAAAAAAATAAATAAATAAATAAATAAAATGGGAGAATGTTTCAAAAACTCCATATATGCTTCTATCTGTTTACAAGTTTCCAAATAAAGTCAATAAAATCTTCAGTAAAATCATTTTGTCATTAGTGCCCAACACCAGCACGATTTAACAACTACAATTACATTAAAATATATTTAAGGTTAAAAGTGGACTTAAACATATGCATTTTGGTGATTATAACATTAACATTTGCAAATAATTAAACTGCTGCCTTTGATTCCAATAATCATATTTGTAAACAATGGCTAAGATGCAATCATCTTGATTCTTTCATGTTTTGTATTAAAAATTCTTCCAAACCTTTTCATGGTAGGCAAAGATCCGTATCAACACAGCCCACATATCTGAGGTGAGCAACGACAGATTCAGCATTGTTGATCCACTGATCTGCAAGAGAAAAGTTGTTGCAGAAGAATGAAACATCAAAGATAATGGGGGTTTTGAAACTGATCGGTGCACAGATACAATGGGAGAACTATGCAGGTCTCAGGATATTAAGTAAGTTTGACAGCAGAAAAATCAATTATAGATTAAAAGCTTAATGCAAATATTTCATGGATTGCTGCTTCAATTTCTTTAGACATGTTTCTATTCATAACTCCAGCATTAAAAAGACTCTTAGAAGGATATGCTTAGACCATGCACAGAATTGCAAGCAAAATTAATATAAGGCACAGAGAGCGATGTAGAAAGGTAACAAAATTCGACACTTAATATTGCAGTGTCAATGTGCATGCAAGAATCAAAAGAGTAACATCGAATCTAAGACCGGAAATGCTGACAAAGAAATATTCAGCACAAGCCACAAACTAATTCTGCTTCTCTTCATATTGTCTACTAATGCTACAAGGGGTTCCGGAGAATTTTCAATATGATCCCTAATCTCACTGAGGTTTATATTTACTAAATCTATTGTACGTCTAGCGTTGTTCAGTTCAACTATGGGAACATTTATCTCTATCTATTTGAAAATGAAAAGGAGTAAAGAACTTGTCATAAGTGTAATCAACGTCAATTAAATATGTGCTAAAAAGATAAGATTAATATGAACAAAAGATAAGCAAAGATGAAAAGAGATAAAAGATCATAAATTAGCTATTAATAATCTTGAATTGCCGCATATCCATCTGACTATGAGAAGTGTTAGAGAGCGACTAAGTAGAAGAAACTAGTTAGGCTAGAAATGAAAGTGATACCTTTAAGAGGATTGGAACTCCAGAGTAAAACAGAAACATGGCTAAAGAATATCCCACAAAAGGTAGTGTCTGCACCAAAGAAATGAGCACCAAATTTAGTGCCTATGTATGTAGTCATTTCTTCATCAAGCACTTTATGTTCTGTTTAGGAATTCATGCCTAAATAATCTGGGAAAATACTACCAATATCTGCAGTCTGGATTCCCCCCAATATAGATTTGTCAATGGAATGTAATGCTAACAGTATCATAACCAGGAAAAAAAAAAAAAAAATTCGAATGCACTGCTCTAATATACTCTAAAGCATAGATCAAATTCTCATTGTGAAGGCACCAATAATACCAGATGTGAACTATGATGATATATATAATTATATATATATATATAGACAACGTATATTTCAGTTGGCACTATAATCAATTTGATAAGAATATTATGACATAAAAAGTTCACTACACGTTGTCATGATAATTCAGTGATTTTCAAAATCCACAGGCATGTATAAATGCTTCCTCTCACATGCCTCATCACAAACAGCAACTATAATATCAAATCCAGAAACCAAGAAGAGCATTTCTCAATTTTTGAGAGGTCAGGAAAAGATTCAGTTCTTCACAATTTTTTTTTATCAACTAACATGCTTCCGAACTAAAACTTTCAAACTTTAAAGCTCTATATATTGAAAGGAGAGTGTCCATCATCCATGGAATTTCTATGACCATCCATGGTGACCCTTTGGGTTTACTTTCACTTGGAGCTATGTAACTTAACCGACTAGAAAGCAAAACTTATTAAAGAAATTTCCTTACAAACTTATTATTGTGAACAGGGAATTTTCCTTGCACACATATTATTATGAACACTTGTCCTACAAGTATTGCACCCAATTTCATGTGTGCATGTCTGTGTTGGTGGGGGAAGGAGAATTTGAAGAGAAAAAGATGATGTATAGTTACCGCCCCCACAGACCAGTGAATGGACGCGAGTTCATTGCGCTCTAGTACGGCTCTGTATATGCATTGTTAAAGAAGTAAAAACTAATGATAAATGCCACATTAAATTAACTCTGGTGGACACACATATTTGTTCAAGTGATCATCAGAATGAGTAGACCATGCATGAATTTTGTAACAAAGAGGATACATTTGGCATGCACTGATAATGCCACCAAACAAGCCCAAGAATGCCATAAGTTCAACTCTATCAGCACTTTTAACAAAAAACTCCTGCATGGAACAACAATAAAAGAATTAAAATTCCATCCTTAGAACTGTAGCGAATCAACATAAATATACCTTGAGAAATTTAGCCTAATTAGTTTGGATAGAATCCATAAACATAGCTGGTTAACCATCGACAACAAATTATCATATGCACTAGCCTTATGTATGTCCCTATTAACAGGTTAGGTGTAAAAGAGAACTATTTTTGTATGGGAAAAAGTCGAGATGAGAGGGAAAGGAAGATAGTCGAGATCAAAAGAAAACATACCAAGCAATTATAACATTTGAGAAAAAGGAAAAGAAACATGGAGGATCAAGAATATTACAGAAGCCCACACAAGTACTTAATTTGTTTGTATGCTGAAATTTTTAAAAGATTGATAGTTGAATTTGAGCTAAAGAACAATTTATCAACTGAACACAAAAGTGAAAAAAAAAAGGAAATAGTTCATTGGAGGTAGAAAGAAATGCTACAGCTACACATTGATATATAACATTAAATTGAAACAACACAAGCACCATTATCGTCGTACCTCACTGACATTACTGACACCATAAAGGGTGGCTCCAGCAAGAACAAGAATATCACCTTTGATTGGGTTAGCTCCACCTATAGCAGTGAGTAAATGGAAAAACAAGCCACCCTATCATTTTCCACCAATATTTTAGAAACTTATCACCAATAGAAAGGGGATGCTTATGCAGCGATGCCATCACATAAAAATCATGTACTTCTTAAAAAATATTTTATTGGGCAGTTGAGAATAAGTATCTGACTCAATTAGTCGTTGATTTATGTGATGAATCAAACAGATAACTGCAATACTTACTTGATCTATCTGCAGCATGGACGTCTGAAAAAATAACAGTCACAAGACCAGCAATACAAATTACCACGCCAATCAACTTTTTGACCCTATATTTTGTCTTCAAAAAGAACCACGTTAAAAACAGGACACATGGAATTGTCCAACAATCCAGCAGCATGACACTTGTGATTGATGTGTACTGATATGCTTTAACCACTGCCATGTCAAATAAATAAATTTTATACATTAGCATTAGCACTTAGCCAAACGAACCAAACTGCCTGCAATCCATTTTACATATTTTCTATGGATAGATGAAACAAATGCATGCAGAAAAAGAATACCGTAACAAAAGATGAAAAGGAAAATAATTAAATAGAAAAATATGCATAACTTGCTATATGAAAATAAGATGTTCAAAATTTACACAAATGAGGTTACACAAACACAGATATATACATATAGATACAACTAGAGGTCTATTCAACTGAACCCGTAAATTCTAATAATCCATCCTAATATGACAATATCCAAATATATATACTATATAGTCAACATCTCTCTTAAATTGGAATACCTAGGGTCTGTTTGTTTGAATGATTTTGGTGATTTTCCACTATTAATAAAAAAAATTCCCTCAATACATATTAAATCAAACACCTAATTTTCTATTTTTTATATTATGTTAAAAATCAATTTTATATTAAACATATTATATCGATACCTATTTATATCACATCAAACAACTATTCCAATTAAAAAAATTTACTATTCGAATTAACCCAAATTCAAAACCATCAACCAAACACACCCATAATATTTATTATGCCTATCTTGTTAAAAGTATGATTGATAAATATTCCATTTAGTGATTTGGTGAAAACATCTCCTAGTTGATCTTCGAACATGACGTATTCGGTAGAGATGAATACTTCTTAGACTATAACAAACAAAATGACAATGACAATCGACTTCAATATGCTCGGTGCATTCATGAAATACTGAATTATATGCAATATTGTAAATTAAAAGTTTACTCTTTTAATTACATGAGTAAATCCTACATTATATACATCAAATATCTAAAATACCTAAAAAGGGGCCTCCACTATTCTAAATACAAAAATGGACCTATATGATATATCTAACACTCTACCTCAAACCGGAGAATACAAATTGCATGATCCACGTTTGTCACATAGAATTTTAATTCGAGGGCCCTCAGGGATTTAGTAAGACTATCTGCAAGTTGGCCATTTGAAGTAATATGGTGGGCAACAATATTACCAGATAATATCTTTTCTCGAATAAAATGACAATTGATCTTTTTATGTTTAGTCCTCTAATACGCGGTGGACGCAACCAAAAATTTATTCACGACGAGGGAAGAAAGAACAAGTGCGCTTTGGGCTAATTGTGGCAATGGCCCGAAGACTGAGCTTATTATTAATTATCTTAGTTCTTTATTTTATTATTTGATTATTTTGAATAAATTGTTATATTGGTCGAGCCTAGGCCCATAGTCGTTTTGCCCTAGTATTTTAAGTATTATTTTGAGACATTATTAGCACTCTGATTTTTCTTCAGTTTCACGGCTTCGGCTTGGTCATAAAGAGTAGTTCTTCCTTGGTTATCAATAAAGTTTAGTCTTTTGGTTCTCTTAAGTTCTCGTGGTATCATCCTCTCATGAAATATTAAAGTAGACGCAATATGCAAAGCAACCTAATTGCCACGATAGAGTTTTATCTCTGAAACCTTCACTATCTTGAGTTCGTGAAGTAAGATGTTCTATATATATATATATATGTATGTGTGTGTATACAACTAGAGGTCCATCCCACCAAACTTATAAAACTTTAATAATCCTATCTAATATAATTCTATGTAAGCTATAGCCTATATATTCAACACAATAATATCAATTTATCCCAAGGACAATCTACCAAATTAAAAAGTAATTACACATAATTAATTGAATGTGTTGGTTGACTCTTGTAAAATATAAATAAAAAATGATGCGTATCCCTTCAAACTTAAGCTTTTAAGTGAGACGGTCATTTAATATCATTAAACATGGTATCAGAGCCAAATTCATGTATTGGGTATTGATCCTGCTTAGAATTTCGAGATGATATCATCTCGAGATGGGAGTGTTGAATATTTTGTTGTCCCACATAGGGAATTTGTTGGAACTCCCTTTTGAATATAAAGATGAAGGACTACTTAATACCAATTGGTTTTAAGTTAGAATTCTGGAATCCTTCTTAACTATTTATATATATTTCACGGGAGTCAACAAACAAAATGTTCATTACAAATGTAAATATAACATATAATATGATGAAAATAATTTATTTGTATGGTGAAACTTGATTTGGGAATTGCATATGATCATGAAAGATGCTTTGTTCTGTTTCTACATATATTAAGCCCAAACACAATAAGCTCAAACAGCCACTAAGAAGTTATAATATCACCAACCAACAGTGGGGCAAATCACGAGAAATTTAAAATCTCCCTGTTATGAGACACTAGCAATGTGCCGTTTAGAACCTCAGGTTACAAGCTAATGGGAAATTCATTCCACACAATTGCCACAAAAAAACTAGCATTTAATAGGATTCAAAACACTAGAAAGAATGCATCAGAAGTTCATGTTTAAGTTAGTGCATCAAATGATACAATGCCTTGAATTCTTTTACATCTACTTAGACTGACTAAGGACATGTGGTTACTTACCAAGAAAATTGGCCTCCACATCAACTATTCCAAGCAAGATATAATAATACCACTTCGACTGCACAAATAAATTAAGAGAAATGAGTACAGCATAAAAAGTTACAGGTTATTAAATATTCTACTAAAGATGAACCAACACAAAGTGAGCAAAGGAGGGTAAACAGATAATAGGTGAGAATACCCACTCAACTATTGAGTGAAAGACATGATCTTCTAATATTGATCACATAATAAAAACAATAGTTAAATAAAGTCTGCACCATATATGATCACTTTTAATATAAAATGCTTCTCATGTTACAAGTTTTCTGAGGACACATGGATTCGTCTTGAAGTCAGCGTCATCTCGTCAAAATGCTTACCATATTTGTTTGTGTTTTGTTTTATCTAAATTCCAGAATTCCTTTTGCCTTTCTTACGGCTAATTTCAATTTGTATGGGTAAATTAATTTAAATTTATTTGAGATTACTACCACTAATAATTCATATTTTTGTTTATGAGATTTATTCAATAAAATCCATCGATCTTGAATATAAATTTAAAATATATATATATATATAACATTTTCACTATATTAATTCAATGCTTTGGTTATTGCAATTTCTAATTTATTTTTTTGTATTTATGTATGCAATACAGCTTATGTATAAATGCCATAACATTTTTGTCAGCATATCTAAATATAGAGGGATGCAATGGTATTGATGATTCAACTCAGGCATCTAAATTTAATTTCAATGCTTCCTCTGGAGCATATACATATTTTTAGAAATATGATTTTACAAATGATCCAGTACTACTTACTAGTTGTGGTTCACTAATTTTTGTGAGATTTTTAGAAAGTATGTTTCTGTATTCTATTGTGATTTATGTTTGCAGAGAAAGTATTTTCCATTCATAATAACATGCCACATAGCTTATTTGTATGTTTCCGTACATTGAACTTGTCTCTTAAGTATGTAGGATCATGTTGTCTCTAAGTATGTAAGTATCATGTTGTCTATGTCATTGAGTAGGAACATTTGGAATTGGAAAAGCAGTATCCGATCCGGAACTAACTAACCGATTTACTGGTATGCACAAGACAAGTATTAATTTTATAATTTTTCCCCTTTGCATTTGTAGTTTGTTTGATGTCATATTATTGATTTGTGTCATCTTGTCAACAGATGAGCCAGTTCATTTATCTAACTAGTAGTCTAACACAACAAAGTTACATTTGGTGACATGAAAATGGAAATGGTTCGGTATTCCCATATAAGTTTTCTTATGTATCATTAAAACCATTTTGCTTCACGTTTAATATATCTTCAAGATCAATGCAATTAGAAAATGTTACAATAGTCCGATAGAAAACTAGTGACTTTCAACTATTATGATTTAATCATTATTTCCTAAATAAGTAAGTAAAATTCAAAATAGTAATAATAATAGAAATATCCTAGTACAAAAATATGGTCTACAGGGACATGCTAAACTCCCCAAATGGCTAAACTCATACTAGGAATACTATCTAGAAATGGCATTAGCAGTGTATCAGGACAACAGACTAGAAATGCAAAAGAATGTAACTTAGGGTTAATGATCTAATATTGGTATTATAATACGCAAAACTAGTGATCTATAAACACAATTCAGGAAATTCAAGTAACAAAACAAATGAACAATGAAAAGAATGTTTTCCATTAAAAAAAACCTAATAATAGTTAGAATTTTCGGAACAAATTATTGCAATCATGATAACATCAATTGAATTGGGTTTGGGTGGTGGAATCATAGCAAATAAATTATACGAACAACTGCAAGCAATACAAAAAGACCAATGTCGAGCACATTATCACATTAATCTACTAACCTTGAGGGCCTGCCTTCGATACAGCATAATGCTTCCATAAATCAATGCCAATAACACATAATTAACAAAAGACTGAGAAGTTGGTGCGTTAATCCCTACAATTCGAGAGACAAACAAAACAATTAGGCCACACAATTGATGCTAGCTAAGGAACAACCGTTGCTCATTCATATTATTAGGATCTTATTAAAAGCAGCAAACATGACAAACACAAGATTAATTTTACATTTACGTGGTTAATAGCATTAGTGATTAAACAGAATTTGAGACTTCTGAAGATTTCTAATAAAATCTCCTAGAGCTTGATTACTAATAAGCATGACTTCACTATTAGTCTCCTCTTCCATTTACTCTGTTCCAACCAAACATTATCTCCATTGATGTCCAGCACAAAATGTTCCAAACATATACTGCACAATTCAGAAGAAACTAAAAACCTCACAACACCAGCAGAAGATTATCAACGCGAGATCAACCTACAAACGCCAACTCCCTCACAGCAACAAAAATAAATAAATTCAGAATCAAGGTCGGAATAGCAGAGACAAAACAATCAACCTTTCTTCGCGAGTTCAGAGGATGAAAATCCAGTGGAAGTGATGAGTAGCGAAAGTAACTGGCCGAGAGCTAGTCCATACAACGTAGCCTTCGTCCAGAAACCCTTACAATTCTCCATCGCCCAATCCTTCCGCGGTGTTCCTGTGATGCTGTATCAAATCAGTACACTTCCTCCCCTCTCTAACCAATCGTCTTCCGGTCAGCCTCACGCAATGATTTGATTACCTACTGGACTGCAGTCCTCTCTCTCCCCTCTCTCTCCCCTCTCTCTCTCTCTCTCTCACTATATATACAGCACTATGCATACGCAAATATAGATACAGATAGATATATATAGATATAATCGATACGCATACACACACTTGTAGTGGCTACGCCTACAATGATATACTTTGAGAAATTCCTTATATGCCTTTGACTTCGAAGAATTTGACTTTCCGAATACCCAAAAGCTGTCATTTGTTGGGGGCTTTTTTACACTATAATTTTTATTATAAGAAATTATTTCAAAATATTAAAAAAAAAAGTTTGTAATCTTCTTTTTAATTTTTTAAGTAATAAAAATTTAAATAAAAAATTAAATACTTCCTCCCATTAAAGATGTCAAGAGAGCGGGTTCAAGACCGATTTTGTAGGCCCCGAAATTTGCTTTGCTAGAAAATATTATTAAGATCCAAGATCCGCTCTGTTTCAATCCGATCCCAAGACTCAGCCATGAACTCTCCGGGTTCGGGGCTAACCCAACAAATCTGTTATTTTTTAAAAAATAAATAAATAAAATACTATGGGTGTATTTACTTGTAAGATTTTGCTTTTGAATTTTAGTTTTGAATAGTAAAACTTTGATTTGAAATAATTGTTTAATGTGATGTAAATATGTATTTATGTAATACTGTGAATGTAAAAGTTAATATTAGTATAATATAATAAATAAAAAATAGATGTTTGATTTGATATTTTTTTTGGAGAAAAAAAAAAGTTTGAATAGTAAAACCGAAAATCAAATCTCACAACTAAACACACCCTATAATTTTTTAAAATAATTTAATATTTAAAAAAAAGGATGCTTAAAAGTACCAAAATATTATAGTTTTAAAAATAAGAACAATTTGCAGTGATGGCGCAATACTCCCGATTATAAAAAAAGAATTGTACGATAAACAAATGCGAAAGACAAATTGGAATTAGAATTAAGGTTCGGTTTAAAATTTTTTAAATAAATAAATAATATAATTTATACTGTATAAAAATATAAATAAATTATAATAATTATTAAAAATCCGGGTTCATGTCCGGGTCCGGAGAGGGGCAGATTTTTAATAAAACCCATAACCCGCATCGAAACCGGCGGAGTTTAAAACTCAAAATCCAAAACTCGCCCCAAACCAAATTTTTTAGACCCGAACCCGCCCCATTACGACCGGATCCGGGGTGATTCCGAGGCTAACCCGCCCCATTTGACATCCCTACCTCCGATCCTATAACAAATATACTATTTTGATTTTCGTCTGTCACATAACGAACGATATCTTTCGTAAATTTTACTAATATAATACATATTTAAGAAATACTCTTTATTTAACTTAATTAACTTTATAATATATACTCTATTCGTCCCTTCTTTTGTGTGAGCAGTTTGAGAAATATTGGGTTAAGTAGTTATTAGTTTGATTAATAGATTTAATAAAGTGTTATATTAAATATTTTTATTTGATAAAATATTAAATTAAAAGTTAAAATATTTCTTATTTTAATTTTTTAAATATTGAATTTTTTATTTACTGATATTATTTAAATAATAATAATAATGGTATTTATTGTAAATCAATACATGCATTTAGATTAAAAAAAATAATTTTAATAACTTAAATGTAATTTATAAGTAAAAAAAATGTAATAAAAAAAATTATATAAACAATACATAAAATTTTTCGAATTTGGTGGTTGTTAGAGATTGTTTGTTATAACATACCAAATTTAATACCACATCGCATACGTACGGTACAAAATTTTTGGTATGATATTTTACCATACGGTACAAATATTTTGGTATACCAAATTTGCGAATAAAAAATACTGAATTACAGAAATAACATGCATACTCGTAAAAAAAATACTGAAAAAATTTCAAAATTTCTATACAATATTACTTTTTTTGTATGATAACGATATACAATAAGATATTTTCAGTGTGTAATAATTTAAAAAATTGGTATTTTTGTATATCCTGATTATTTGATACAATTTCAATATATTTTTTTAATAAATTAAAAAATTTGGTACGATATAGAATATATTTCGATATTTTCGCTATACTATCTCAAACCATCACTAACTCACGGTATACCGAAATTAAAAATAAGTTTATAATTTTTCATTATAAATAAGTTTTATTTTTTATTTTTTTTAACAAAGAAAAAAAAAATCAATATCAAATCTATTTTTAATTAATTTTTCAGCCATAAATTTTATTATACATCACATTTTTATTATATATTACATTAAAATTTAATTTTAAAATTAAATGAATATTTATTTATATAATATTAAATATTTATTATTTAAAATTTTAGCCCAACTTCTAAATTTACAATTAACAAATAATAAAACTAAAAATGTTAGTAAGTTAATAAAATATAGTTGAGTTTTTTTAATTAGAAGTATTAGTTATTAATTATTACTATAATAGGAAAGTGGACTAATTTCGTGGAACGACTAAAAAAGGAAAAATAGACTAATTTGGTGGGACGGATGGAGTATTATCATATATCATGATACACTCAAAACTTCTTTATTTTTATTTTTCTCTTCGGTAAACAAATATTTTTATATATATTTAAAACTTTTGCTCTTTTATAAAATTAGTTTATATTTACTATTTTTGTTTGATCACGAAAAAATAGTCTGATTTCCATAAATAATCATATGACTGTAAAATTATCTTTACTTTTTTATTATTATTACACAATTGTCACTATTTTTTACTATTTACAAGGGCAAAAAAATGTGTACATATATTTTTTATCCACTATTAATATAATATCAATATTCAATTAAATCTCTACTAAATACCATCCAAATTATGATTTTACAACATAGTATTCATTTTTAAAAATTAAATATTAATTTATTTTGATAAAAAGAACACGACAAGGCCTAAAAAAGCTAACGTAAACTGCACTAATTAAGAACGAGGCGCCGCTAAAATTGCCGCAGGTGGGCCCGCATAAATATATTTTCTTAAATAAGAAAAAGTTAAAAAAATAAAATTCTTGTTGCAAGTCGGCTATTAAAAAGGCAATATTCGATTTTTATCTGACTCCCTCTTTATACTGGAAGTCCATGTCTGACGCAGCGAATATTTTTATATTATTATTATTATTATTATTATTATTATTAGGTAAAGCCTATCGCAAATTAGTTCTATAAGTGAAAAAATTTCGCTGTTTTAGTCATCCGTCGTCAGAGACGCCCGCGTGGTTCGCCGGAGGTGACGTGTCGGCCAGGTGTCCCGCCAGGTCAGCAACACCTGACGAACACGTGGATTTATTTTTATTTTTTTCATTTTTTTTAATTTTTTTAATTTTTTTAATTGGACCAAATTAAAAATAAATAAAAAAAATACAAATAAAATTTAAAATAAATTAAAAATAAGTTTTTAAAAAAATTAAAAAATGAAAAAAAAATAAAAAAATCCACGTGTCCGCCAGATCAGCGACATCTGGCAGACACGTCACCTCCGGCGAGCCACGCGGGCATCTCCGGTGCCGGAGGACTAAAACAGCAAAATTTTTTTACTTATGGGACTAGTTGCGACATGCTCCACTTATGGGACTAAATGATAAAGGGGTCCAGTTACGGGACAAAAAAAACAGTTTACCCTTTGTTGATGTAATTTTTCAACAAAAATAAAGTAAAATTCAAAGATATAGAAAATATCCTTAAACTTGATTAATTAGTGCCTGAGATTAGGAATCTCTAAACACTGTATGGTACAGAAAATAAACTGGAAAATAAAAGACTGAAATTTAAAGTGGTGATCCCCAAATCTGACTTTGCTTTGTTGAAGTTGATTGAAGATGCCTTTTCTGACGGATTTGAATCCTTTAAATAGCCTTTCATAGAAAACGGTTTGAACCGCCGTCTGGTCGGTTACAGCAACCGCTGTCAACCGACCACCAATTTCTCCTCTATTGACACGTATTACAACTTCCTTCAACCGTTCCCACCAGTCACAGAACTCAGACCTGCCTCTTACCCGACCTGCCTGTCCACTGCCAAATTTCTTTTGCCCGACTTCGTCCTTCGCCCGACCTGCTTCTTCGCCCGACCTCACTTGGGCCGACTTCCGCATCAGCCGCCCTCCGTCTTTGACCGAAGACCTCCGCGTCTGTCCGTACCTCTTCCTTGCCCGACCTTCCTCTTGACAGACCTCCGCGTCTGCCCGACTTCGCCTTCCATCCGATCTACGGTTTACCCGACTTGGGTACACCTTTTTTTTAAACTCCGCCCGACCTTTCTTCCTTTTCCCGACCTTTATTCTGCCCGACCTCCAGACCTTTTGGCTTTCATTCAGACCCTACCCAGAATCCTACTGCCACTTACTATTATTATTATTTTTTGTGCTTAACAATAAGCCTCCTCCTCAAGACTCCTAAACATCACTTTCAGTGATGTTTTAGGAGTGTGCAGGTCAGCATCCGAGGCTACGTCAGCCTCAGATCCGACCTCCATCTTCTGAGGCTACGTTGGACCCGACCTCCATTTATCGCGGACTGGTGGTGGTCTGCACATTGATTGATTTTGCACTACCATCTCTTCAGCATCTCCCCCCTGACGGAAGTCATGATTATTTTCTGTAAAAAAGGATTCTAACCTTCTTGCCGTGGATGCTAAACTGGCCAGATCTTGAAAGTCGTGGGCTGTCAGGGCCTCGCGAAGTCTGGTATGCATGTTCCTGACCACCAAATTGGTCATTTCGCTTTCATTGATCATCGTAGGACATCGTCCCTTCATCAATCGCATCCTCTCTATGAATTGGTAGCCGGTCTCTTCCGGCATCTGCGTGATCTCCAGAAGGTCTATCAGTGAGATTGTCGGCAGAGGATTAAAGAACCTTGCATGAAAATCTGCCTCTAAATCTTCCCAAGTTTGCAACTGTCCAGGCGGCAGACTGGCATACCAAGAAAAAGCTGTTCTTGTGAGCGACAACCCAAACAATTGTAACTTGTGAAACGGATTGTTGCCTACTTCTCCCAATTGAGCCGTGAAGCGACCCACATGCTCAATGGTAGAGGCTCC